ACTAACACAAATCTATGAAATATACTTATGATCATACGACTACTTAGGACTGGGCAAAAATAATCAATATATAATTTTGATTATCGAATTTTGTAAATGATTAAAAGTCAGTTAAATTTGTTTTTTTCAACATGATCTGCTACATGGTAATTGGACAAGTCACATCAGATTATATGTGATGATTATATATTTTAGAAATTCTATGAACCAGATATCAATAAATGACAAATTTATACAACCATATACATCAATAGACGGAAATCAGAAGATTTCTTCATTAAAATTTTTGATCAGTAGCCTGTTTTCAATAATCGATTTCAAAATAATTAACTTGGTATAATTCATACTACATATTTTTCGATTTCCCTGATTTTTCTATAGGGTTTATCCTTGGGTGATAACGAACACTCATACCAAGTTTCGTCAAAATCTGTCAAGAATTGTGCCTTCTAGAGTGTTTACGAGCTAAAAAATTGAACGGTTTGCAAGAACAAGGGCAATAATTCATACTAAATATTTTTCCTATAGTAGCCTACTTATCCAGCAACTCAATTCAATCTTCCAAGAAACAAAACCTTTCCCCTATGACCCATGTTAAATTTCATTTTTGTATCAGTACAATTGGTGAAAATGAAATGATTAAACAAACCTTTTCTCTTGAATGACATTTATAAAATGAAATCAGATAAACTGCTGCATCTTGGGATGTCACATGACTAAGCTATGATTGGATATCTGTCTTGGATTTTCCACTTGGTCTATTTATAGTATCTTATGATGCTGTACATGTATGGTGGCTGGTTAGGGACATGTTAAATGATTTAATTAAATTTTCTTATTTGTTAACCAAAATAGTTTCTCAGGTAAATAATGACATCTATTGTAAATTGTGATTATGAACAAAAAAATTGTGACTTGTAGAGTCTGTCAAGAATTGTGCCTCCTAGAGTGTTTACGAGCTAAAAATTGAACTCGTTTTTAAGAACAAGGGCAATAATTCATACTACATATTTTTCGATTTCCCTGATTTTTCTATAGGGCTTATCCTTGGGTGAATACGAACACTCATACCAAGTTTCGTCAAAATCTGTCAAGAATTGTGCCTTCTAGAGTGTTTACGAGCTAAAAATTGAACAGTTTGCAAGAACAAGGGCAATAATTCATACTAAATATTTTTCGATTTCGCTGATTTTCAATAGGGTTTATCCTTGGGTGATTACAAACGCTCATACCAAGTTTCGTTAAAATCCTTCAAGAATTCTGCCTTCTAGAGTGTTTACGAGCTAAAAATTGAACGCGTTTTTAAGAACAAGGGCAATAATTCATACTTAATATTTTTCGATTTCGCTGATTTTCAATAGGGTCTATCCTTGGGTGATAACGAACACGCATACCAAGTTTCGTCAAAATCTGTCAAGAATTGTGCCTTCTAGAGTGTCTATGAGCTAAAAATTGAACGCATTTGCAAGAACAAGGGCAATAATTCATGCTAAATATTTTTCGATTTCGCTGATTTTCAATAGGGTTTATCCTTGGGTGATTACAAACACTCATACCAAGGTTCGTCAAAATCTGTCAAGAATTGTGCCTTCTAGAGTGTTTACGAGCTAAAAATTAACAAGGGCAATAATTCATGCTAAATATTTTTCGATTTCGCTGATTTTCAATAGGGTTTATCCTTGGGTGAATGCGAACACACATACTAAGTTTCGTTAAAATCCGTCAAGAATTGTGCCCTGTAGAGTGTTAACGAGCAATTGTGGACGGACGGACGGACATGGGTGACGACAATATACGCCCCCCATTTCATGTGGGCGTATAAAAATTCCAAATTTTATAAAAAAAATCTTTACTTATCATATACTTCTCAGAAAAGTCAATTCTCTTTCAAAACAATGTGTTCACAATAGAAAAAAAATTCAACCAATGAAAGGGTTTTATCATCTTACAATCTTATATTCACATTATCTCATACACAAAACGAAATTTGAATTCTGGATGAAGATTTGAAAGATGTAATTGAACCACCATGTCACCTTACTTTATCTTTTAGCACAATCAATTTTCGTGATGATTTGAGATTCCTTACCTCGACAGGAATCGTTTTCTCATGGCGTCTAACGAATGTCTCGAAGCCTTCAACAAAGCATCTTGTAATTTATGGTTAAAATGATCCATTAGTTCTTTTGATGCTACTTCCATCTGTTCTTCAATGGACAATTCATAATCTTCATCTTTCAGTCTTCCATCACTATCTGATTTACCTGTACTACTAGCTACTGATGCTGAACTTGGTAGAGATTCTGAAAACAAACAACAGTGACAGTAGATGCTCTTTTGTTTACCAAAAGCATCCAACATTTGCATGTCACATTTACAAGGATTTTTGGGACTTTCGGACCACATACTTCAAAATAAAGTTCAACAGATATAAGCTTATCTTAATTAAAAGTTTTTCAGATTCAAACATAAATCTCAAAACAAAATCTCTCAGATTTCAAAGAAAAATCTCTCAGGTTTCAAAGATAAATCTCTCAGGTTTCAAAGATAAATCTCTTAGATTTCAAAGATAAATCTCTGAGGTTTCAAAGATAAATCTCTTAGATTTCAAAGATAAATCTCTTAGATTTCAAAGATAAATCTCTCAGGTTCAAACATAAATCCCTCAGGTTTCAAAGATAAATCACTTAGGTTTCAAAGATAAATCTCTTAGATTTCAAAGATAAATCTCTCAGGTTCAAACATAAATCCCTCAGGTTTCAAAGATAAATCTCTTAGATTTCAAAGATAAATCTCTGAGGTTTCAAAGATAAATCTCTTAGATTTCAAAGATAAATCTCTCAGGTTCAAACATAAATCCCTCAGGTTTCAAACATAAATCCCTTAGATTTTAAAGAAAAATTTCCCAGGTTTCAAAGATAAATTTCTCAGGTTTCAAAGATAAATATCTTAGATTTCAAATCTAAATATCTCAGATCTCAAATTCAAATATCTCAGATCTCAAAATCAAATTCCTCTGATTTCAAGCATAAATCTCTTAAATTTCAAAATCAAATTTCTCAGATCTCAAAATCAAATCTCCTAGATCTCAAAGTCAAATCTCTTAGATCTCAATATCAAATATCTTAGATCTCAAAATCAAATCTCCTAGATCTCAAAGCCAAATCTCCTAGTTCTCAAAGTCAAATCTCTTAGATCTCAAAAGCAAATCTCCTTGATCTCAAAGTCAAATCACTTATATCTCAAAATCAAATCTCTTAGATTCCAAACAGAAGTCTCTCACATTTCAAACATACATCTCTAAGATACTAAGTAGATTACATACCAAATATCAAATCACTTTCAGCAACTACAGGTTTAGTAGTCTTCATTTCTCGTTCAGTTTTAACACTATGTTTAAATATTCTGTTTAATTCCATAATAGCATCATATATTGTTTTACTCATTTTATTAATATCTGTTGCTACAACTTCACAGTATTTCTAGAATAATAACAACCATCGTTACCTAGTCACCTAGTATTATTTTACTATTTTCATCACTGACTGGTAGATTGTAATATATGCAGCTCTCATCTCATGTTTTGTACATTATTTAGTTATACAATGATGAACCATATCATAGTATGTTTGTCATTTGAAAATGAATTATCTTCACAATAAGTACTTAATTGATGGGTAAAAGATGACATGGTTCAGTTGTCTAAGGTTCACTTGGAACTTGGAAATGTTTCAATAATATTTCTTTAATTTTCCATAAAAATCTCAAATGTCCCAAGTAATATCCAGAACTTGGTTGTACCAAGTTGCGATGACTAAACACTGGATTACTGCTTTCGGTTACAACCAATAGTTAGTGTTCCAAAAAATATTTTTCTAAATTAAAGGTGTGTAGACTCACCTCTGTATTCTTTAAGAATTCTGCAACTGACCATGGTACCGAATCGGGCAAGTCACACAATAAACTTTCTTCAATTTCAACAAGAACATTATCAATACGTGTTGATGAGATGTCATTCACCTAAATAATATAATATAACTTTGATCATGACATTTATATCTTAAGTATTTCTCCAATTTATTTCTGTATCTTTACAGGCTGAAACAAATGCACCTGGCCACTTTAAAATGAACATCAAGAAACCACAGGTGTCTCAATCATCATCATCACCAGATGAGGAAAGGTAAGCACTATTTTGTAAATGGCCAAGAATCATTTTGATGAAACATGTCTCTGAAACAGTCTATGAACACAACCAACAATAGTTCTTAAAACATGATTATTATCTATTCATCATTCTGAAGATTCAAGATTTGTCTTTTTTCTCGAGATAAAATAAAAGTTAATAAAAAAAATTGACCTGTTTAACAATAATCTGAAGTTCCACAAGAGATTGTTGCACTTGATCAAAAAAAGTTGGTAAACTCAATGATGTCCATGTATGACTAACTAAGCCTGGTCTTATAGCTTCATCTGCCTGTTAAAAAGAAATATAAATCAAGTTAACATTTTGTCATTGATTTGGATCATAAAGGAATTTGCTCAAAAGAGTAACAAAGATACCTATCTTGTGTCATGCAGAGTTATCTTCTTTTTCATCAAAACCAATGCTGTTTATATGTTAAAACAATAATAATCAAAATATTTTGGTGTTATGGTTGTTTGAAGAATTTATTTCAAACGCTCCTTTGGTTTTACAAATTACATCTTCAGCAAGTTTGAGGTGTAGGTCAGTAGTGTTTTTAGGTGAGGGCAAGGGACTAGGAGGGGTCAGAGACCATTCGTTCACTTAATGTAAAATGATAAATAATTTGAAAGAGGGGGGAGGGGAGGCAAAGTTGGGCTAGCATCTTTTCTGACCCCCATTAGAAACGCCACTGGTGTAGGTAGCTCCTAACATTTCATTATGTAATTACCTTGCGAATAACAGGACCCAATAATACCATATAGATAGGTGGTATATTGCCTCTTATTTTACTATTCTCATCCAACAGTACCTAAAATACAAATATATTAAGAAATAATGTGCTCACATGGTCTTGATTTGAGGAATTTATTTTTCTACATTCCAATACATGAGACTTTACCACAATATGAAATTTGGCACGTAATAACATGTAGACAGTTATAATTTCTAAGGGGAATACAAATGAGATTTTTAAGGGGAATACAAATGAGATTTCTAAGGGAACTACAAATGAGATTTCTAAGGGAACTACAAATGAGATTTCTTAGGGGAATACAAATGAGATTTCTAAGGGAACTACAAATGAGATTTCTAAGGGAACTGCAAATGAGATTTCTAAGGGAACTACAAATGAGATTTCTTAGGAGAATACATATGAGATTTTTAAGGGGAATACAAATGAGATTTTTAAGGAGAATACAAATGAGATTTCTTAGGGGAATACAAATGAGATTTCTAAGGGAACTACAAATGAGATTTCTTAGGGGAATACATATTAGATTTCTAATGGGAATACAAATGAGATTTCTTAGGGGAATACATATGAGATTTCTAAGGGGAATACAAATGAGATTTTTAAGGGGAATACAAATGAAATTTCAAAGAGGATACAAATAAAGTTTATAAGGGAATTACAAATAAATTTTTTTTATCATTACCTGTAGTGAACTGATGTTTTGTTTTAAAGTAGCTTGAGAATGGAAAAGAATTTTAGCTGCTTCTGGAACATCCAGATTTAATTTGACCATATATTCACATTCTTTCAATGTTTCAAATATATATGGATCAAAATTCACTAGCAATTCCTTAGAAGTGGGATGACGGCATAATACTGGTACTTGTAGAACTGAAAACAAATACATCTCTGTAAGACTCGTAAGTTTCAATGAAATATAGAACCTTTACCTTTAATTTTCACTTCAAGACAACTTTAATCTCTTATTTATAGCTCACAGCTTCTAAAATCCAACCATCTGAATATTGCAGCATGGAATTTTTTTTAACAATGTATTTCCAAGGACCAGCTTATAGAAAGATCCCTGAACTGTGAACCTAAAGTTGTTATCCTTGTGAAATATAGTTGTTTCTTTCTTTCATGTACCAGTATTGACTTTATCTTGTCACCCAGTGCTGGTTGTTCATTATCCATTGTTCACACTAATAGAATTTATTTGAGCAATTTCAAAGTTAAGACTTACATTCAACAGCTATATCAACTGATTTTAACCATGCTGAATGATATAACATCTCATATTCCACCAATATCTTAGCTACTTTATTATAATTACGTATAATCTTCTTAGCTTCATCAGTAGCAAGACATTTAGGATGTTGCTGCAAAAACCCACATAATGTTCATCAGAAATAGATTTCCGTTACCGTAATGAAAGTTCCATTCTAGAGATATATTATCTTTTTGGGAAGTAAGCTTACCCGAAATGCTTAATTGGTGAGGTCATTAGAGTGACACTGTAGGTTATTTGCTCAAGCATTGTGGGGGTTGAATTCATGGTTCCTTATTATCTGATTAAATTAAAAACTGTGCCATCTGCACAGGATTTTCTCCTACATTTAGCAACTTAACATCCTCTGAGAGTTCACATAGTCAAAAATGCATTTATCAAGTTCATTTTGTTCACAATTTCCTTATCATTTCCTCATCCATTTCAAACACAGATATCATGAAACCTTTCTCAATCTTGTACGAATAAAAATTTTACAACTAACCCGAAAGATGTCCATAGGTTCAATTACTCTCTCTGATAACTGTCTAGCCCATGTTACTTTACCAGATACAGGAGGCATATTTCTAGGTATTTGTGGATCTTCTCTAAATTTATGATACATCTACAAATAATATTTAATTACAATCCTTGTAATTGATCTTATTGTTCAAGTTCAAATACGCTCATATTACAGATGTATAAGCTTACTTCTCCAAAATGTGATATTGTAAGGTAACAGTGTGATATCATGAATAAACAGAGTGTGATATTACAAGTAAACAGCATGATATTGCATGGTAACTTTGTGATATTGTAAAAAAACAGTGTGATATCGTAAGGTAACAGTGTCATATTGTAAATAAACAGAGAGGAATTGTGAAATAAACAATGTGATATTGTAAGGTAACAGTGTAATATTGTAATGTAACAGTGTGATATTGTAAGGTAACAGTGTAATATTGTAAATAAACAGAGAGGAATTGTGAAATAAACAATGTGATATTGTAAGGTAACAGTGTAATATTATAAATAAACAGAGAAGAATTGTGAAAAAAAACAGTGTGATATTGTAAGGTAACAGTGTAATATTGTAAATAAACAGAGAGGAATTGTGAAATAAACAATATGATATTGCAAATACAATGTGATATGTTAAGGTCACTATGTGATATTGTGAATAAAAAAGGTGACATTGTGAATAAACAGTGTGATGTAAGCAATCAGTGTGATATTGTAAGGTATAGCAAGATAACAGTGTGATATTGTAAAGTAAACAATGTAATATTAAGTAAACAATGCGATATTGTAAGTAAACAATATTATATGATAAATATGATAATTGTTAAGTAACCAGTTTGACATTGTAAGTAAACAATGTGATAATGTAATAAAGAGTGTAATGTTAGAAGTTACCAGTGTGATATTGTAAGTAAACAATGTGATATCATATATATAAATTGTGATAATTATAAGTACATATATGTAACCAAAGTAATGTCATCACAACCTGCACTTATTATTTTGAACAGAAATATTACTGTTATTCATTTTCCTCAAATTGATTGGTTTTCACATATTTAACCTTTAATTGTGTTTACATTAACTAAAAGCTTTGGTTATTATATATCTATAACTATCATAGATGAAAGTTGATAAAATATAAACTACGATTCAATAATAAATCAGACAAACACAATTTAAAAGCAATAACAAGCCAAATTGGAAGCTTTGTTTCGAATATTTTTTTAAATTTTGAAATATCTCCCATTTAATAACTCTTATCTCAACTAATTGTCACTTGTACTTGTCTTGTAGTGATCCTGGATAGCTAGAAATTAGTTTGACACCCAACAAAACTATAAATAAAGCTATGAATTATGTTTGACAGCAATGCTGAAGATAATGTTACATTTCAAGCACAAGTTTTGGGTATAATATATCTATCTCAAGCCACTAGAGAACACTGTCCCATTGGCATCCACACATTGGAGAAAATGGTGTCACCTGACAACCATGTAAAAATGAAAAACTGAGTAGATAGGGGGTGTATGTAGCGATGAGTTGATGCACATGATGCCAATTTTTGGTAAAACTCTCCAATTGTGACCACCACCCTAATCGTTATCCTACTTCCACTATATTTCACTATATAATTTATAATTAAGTTAAACAGAGATGATAACAGAATTAATGGTTTTTAGTGTGTTATTTAACCAGCACTTCAATTGTAGGATAATAACAATCCCTTTTAAATTACTTTCATCAAATATAACAAGTTTATTTCTATAAAACCTTCAAGTTATTCTTACTTAAAAAATCCTTTCTAAAATATATCATGGCCTATTACGGAGCCCCTTAGGCGCAATTTTTGGTACTTTTATAAAATATTTCGTTTAAACGAATTACTTATTTCGTTCAAATGAAATACATTTTTTATTTCATTTAATGATTAATTATTTTATAAAAGTATTGAAAATTGCGTCTTAGGGGCCCCGTAGCCTATAGATCATGGACTTGTGTTTAAAATTCTATTCATAGAATAATGAAAACCTACTAAACTACTGTCAAAAATAATCTAATAGAATTGGGATATTTATTTTTTCTTACATGAGTCAAGGCAGTATCATAATTCAGATGATTGATAATCCAGTGTGATAATTTTAACACTCATATTAGATTTACCATAATTGCAGGATTCATCCACAGTAACATTATCAAAAAAAACAAATTGAATAAAAAATTACTAACGGTAGTAACAATATGAACTGCAAGACGAAACCCTAAATTTAAAATAACAATTTCTTAATGCATTGGTAGCAGCTAATGAAATTTTCATATGAAGAATCATAAATGAGTTAAGTATTGCATAATGAAACAATTTGTCCTCTTAAAGCTAAGATTACATATACGTGTCATGCGTCATCCGTCATGCGTCATCCGTCAAAGAGGGTATGATTCCATATATGTGGAAGCGGTATCCATCAAATGGATCCGTAAGGGCCATTTATGTCCGCATGACGCATCCGCATGACGTGTATATGGAATCTTAGCTTTAGGCCTCCATATTATTTACTTAACAATTACTGAGCACAAACACTATGTAATTTATTATCAATTTGCCAATGATAACGTGCTAAACTATCAGGTATTCATTGATATCAATCATTAACTTGGAATATATCAATAAAACCTTATCAAATAGTTTATTCTGGCAGATCTACTTCTCACATGAAATATCAGTAACAGTAATGTTTTAGTTATTGATGGAACTTATTGCACTAGAGAACAGTTGATCATTTCCACCACAAGGATATTACTCATTTAAAGGTGAATCAGATGTGATCAGTGAATTCAATGGTTTGGTATATAAACTAAACATGAAGAACCTGCGAGTTTTGCTTCTATTGAACCTACTTCTGATATTGAGTGTCAGTCTCATAACTTCATCTAATATAACAGATATGAAGAATTTAGAAGAGTTTTTGGCAAGACAAAATCCAAAAAAATTGCGACCAGTTATAAACCAGGGTAAGCCAGTAGTTGTGAATGTTGATGTATTCCTTGTGTCTCTAATAAAAGTAGATAATGTGCGTCAAACTTTGGAAATGAGTTTTTTCTTCAACATTACATGGAAAGATGAACTTCTACGATGGAACACCAGTGACTTTGGAGGGATCATATCTTTTGTGCCACAGGATGATTCAATATGGTTGCCACTCCTCACTTGTTACCAATGTTTGGAAATGAATATGTTCAAGGACGAGCTCACTGCTCTTACAATATACCATGATGGTCTGGTAGTTTGGCGACCACAAAAAAAACTTGAAGTGATATGTGAAATCAAAGTTAAATATTTCCCGTTTGATCTCCAAACCGTTGGTATATTGTTCTTTCCAATGCAATATTCTGATCAAAAGGTTCAGCTGAAAGAAGTCTCCAAATCTCTTAATATGAAATCATTTCAAGAAAATGGAGAATGGGAGATAGTAAGGGCTCCGATGTCTACAAACAATCGCCATCAAAAATCACTACTGGAAGTCATACTCAAATTGAAAAGACAACCTAATTTTTTTCTTCAAAATGTTGTCAGTCCCATTGTTTTGCTGTCCTTTCTGAATCTGTTTGCATTCTGTCTGCCAGATGATTCTGGTGAAAAAATCTCATTCTCGTTGACAATGTTATTATCACAGACTGTGTTTTTAAGTACTGTCAGTGGTTCTTTACCAGCAACATCTACAGAAATAGTCATTATAACAATTTACATGACCTGTCTTCTTTTTATCAGCTGTGTTATTTCAATTGCTTCAATCATATTGTTATATTTTAATCATAAACGTAAGAAACGCCAAGAGCATGAAAAACAAGATGGAATGTCTGAGGAAGCCTCATTGAGTTTTCCTGCAGTTTTCAATCGATTTATCAATCGAAACAAAGTGCAACCTTTATTTTCAAAGAGTAAGAAACATTGTAAATGTACAATTGATATGTTTCTATTTTTCATTGTATTTGTAATCTGGGCTCTGATTACAGTCTGTTTCTTTATGGAGATTATTCATAAAAACAATACCACTGAAAACTTGTTCAAATTTGATTGAAAAATGATGATGATGATGGTCAAAGCTGACCTCAATGAGAAGATCTTCAGACATCAGAATATATTGCATTACTGAATATTTACAAGTTTAAATTATATTGAATATATTATTGTTTAATGCTTAAACAAAACTGAATTGAATCTGTTCTTAATCTGCTATCAACTGTGAGATAGTTTCATCAAATAGTTAGAATGTATGTAACAGTTTTACTCTCATATTATCAGTAAGAATCATTAAAGGGATAGATTCACCATTTTCAAGGATTGATTTGGGTCTTGAATATATGTAGTCTTCAGCAGTAACAGAAATGTACCATACAAAAACTGCATATGTCCTTCAAAAATATATCAAACTAGGAATTTTATTTTCAATCTCTAAGCTTATGTGTATTTTTTTTCTATACATGGCAGAGTCTTATGAAATGAGAGTCGTCATTTTAACATTCAAACATAGATTTTTCTGGACAGACATGAATTTGAAAGCTAAAATTTCAATGGTAAGCTATAAAGACAAAAGAAAAAGTCACACAATGTTTTTCCTTGTATAATATATTCTTATGTAGGTAGGTAAATGACAAGTTAACCTGTATACTTCCAGACTAAGCTGATATCACAGACTTATAAAAGGATATGAATGGAATGAAATACATACTCTGTAGAAGAATTACATTTATAATGGATGTCCATTCAACTGTATACTTTATGTTTGCTTATCTATGTTGTGTTATCTTATTTGTTTGTGTGTTATTTGTTGCTTTTATGAAATAAATAGTTTCCTGAAGTGATTTTTACAATCCAGTTCTGCAATATGACTCATCATCATAATTATACTGAAGCTAATGAGTTATCATTCCAATGGTAGAGTGAATTATTATATCATCAAAAACTGTAGATTATGAATAGTTTATGATATATATGAAAGAGCCCAAAATGCTGATAATATAATCCTTTAACGGGGACATTCAAATAAAATCATGAAATTTAAATGTGAGTAAAGAGAAAGGACTGCTAAAAGAGAAATGTTTAATTACCTTTTTAATGTTTTCTATTTCTTCACCATACTGTGTCAAAATATTAGCATATTTCCCTTCGATATTTAACTTGCTAATATTTAGTTTCTCAAATCTACAACATATCAATTTACAATAAGTTTTAGCAAAACATTTCTAGCTTAATCAATTGATTTATCTTACACAATTCTACAAAATACCATTTGAGTTTTAGATTTGCATTTTTTTAGCTAAAACGAACAATTTGAGATACCCAATTCTACCAAGTAGAATATGACAGTTTTAAATTTGCACATTTTTAGCTAAAACAAACAATTTGAGATACCTAGAAACAAAGCAAGGAGAAGAATATCATTCAGCCTTACCACTTACTCAATGAGTACTGACAATTTTGGAGAGATCCAGAAAGGTATAGATTAATGTTAAAGACATTGCTTATTAGCCAAATTCAAAACAATATCTGGTACACATTGTCTTGTAACGTTCATCAGTTATAAAAGATTTCAACAGACCAATTAACAACTTACCTGGTCAACAAATTTAAAGAATTAACAGTTGTGGTCATTTTCTTGAAACTAGCATCCATAAATATTTGAAGATTATTCTAAAATGTAGAAAAAGTTACATCGGTGAAAAGTAATGAAACTTATATTGAGGTTTGAAAAAGGTGCTTGAAGAATCAAGGAGGATTGTGGGTGAGTCAATCAGAATACTCACATCCAAATGAAATCATTTTGGGTATTACTGTTCAAAGAATTCGTTGCAATTTTTAGTTGCCAAGGAGGTAGTTGTGAATGCCACTTATTGGCAATGAATAGAATATAGTGAAAAAAGAGAGATTTTTACATCATTTATTCATTTGAGAGAAAGTGATATGGATTAATTAGTCATTTGTATTTAATTACTTTGATATCCAATAACAATGCAACATGAATAAACCAGGTTTTGACTAACCTCAAGTTCTGCAAGTTGACGACAGAAATCTTCAAAATCATTATCAAAATCAACTTTTCTTTGATCCAAAACATCATATGGCTTCTTCTTCACACTTGAACATACTTGTTGAAATCGAGCAGCAAATGGTTCAATACCTTCTATTTTAGATTCTGTTAAAGGGTGAAATGTATCGATGTTTTGCAATAGTCGCATTATCTGGAAAAGAAACCAACATTCAGACAAACAGAAATAAAGGTATAGAGTTAAGAGGTTTTTTGAACCTAAATCTGTATTTGAAACACTGATAGCATCGATTTGCACAATTTCAATTTTTGGTTAGAAGTCTGTGGTTATTATTCTACTAAAAATTAGGCATTTTTTCACTATTTCAAAGATCCTTAAATATAAGTTTAAACATCGGTTTTTTCAATAGTGATGTCATTGAACATTTTGGTGAAATTGCAAGAATCAAAAATGTCTTATTGAAAATTGGATTGGTGCAAATGGATGCTAGTGCCCCTATACACAGTTTAGAAAATCTCTTCACAATCCTATTAAACAGGAAAAATTGAAATTTTCAGCATACTGGAGTCTTATAAGAACCAAATAATTTTTAAGAAAAAATTTAAAGTTTACCTTATCAATTCTCTTACAGAATGTTTCAAACTTTCCAAAGATGTACATTTCAGAGAATTCAAATGGCTTTTCTCCTGGTGTTTCTTCAATTTTCTGTTTTGTACGTTGAAATACTTGTTGATATGTTCTATAAAGTTTAATACAATTCTGTAATTTTTCAATAACTTCAGCTCTGTCCTGATCCCAAACTCTGTACATCCCTTCTTCAGTGATATAATTCTTACAGGCCGTTACCATTTGATTGGTGACCTTAAAAACACAACAGAAATAACTTCTGTCATAGTGTAATACCACGGTATGACATATTGTAATATTGTAGTCTAATGATATCAAGTCTGTAGGCTATTGAGAGTCATCTCCCTTAAGAGATAGGTGCAGAGCCTAAAAAAAGATGGTGGTCAGAAACTCATTGAGTTTTATCTTTGAATCCAAGCAAGCTACCTTTGATTCACTCTTTAACTTTTCAGAATGAAAATGTATTTTCATTTAAAATTTAAGAAAGCACACAATAGTTTCATCCATTTTATCAAACCCATGACCTCCCAATGAAAAGACTTCTGATACATTTCTTATAATAACTAAAGAACAAAATCAAGTAAACAAAACATATATTTTCATTTAATTTTAAATAAAAAAGGCTGCATATGATCAGCAACTTATTCCAACTAGAACAATTTTTTACTGAACCTGTAAAGATAAAAAGTTCTAGTATATTCTATAGCCTACCTTTATAAATAATGATGTCATTCTCTCAGAGGTATTATAATACCTAGATATACTATGTATCATTCTTATAGCATTAATTAATCCAGCTAAACAATCTATCATTGATACCTACAGAGGATATAATATACCATTATTTGAAAATAATTAACAGAACACAATACTGGATAATTGAATATCAAAAAAGCAGGCATCAATTTGAAGAATTCTAATAGCCATTTGTTGCACCAATTTACATTCTACAATTTAATATATGAATATCTCTAGCAGGGCAAATATTCTCATCTCCTCTGGGACATATTTCATTCTGGATTTATCAATTTGTCACTCCTGTTGAACCTGTTGAAGAGTCCACATGGCTGATGGGATAGTTTTATGAGTACCCTCTACCAAAAACCAGTAAAATAAACATATAATTTCATTCTGTAATTGAATAAGTTAGCTTGTCATCAATGTAGCAATAATGCCTAATAATAATAATATTTGGGTATTTTTATTGAAGTACCCAATCCCAGGGGAATAAGAATATGATTTTATTCTGCAATAAATTTGTTAGCTTGTCATCCCTTTTTGATAGTTTGATAGTTTATTGGAGTAGAGATCAGTAAAAATAAAACTTACAGGATCACATCTATATAGTGGTTCACAGTATTTCTCTAGAGTATATAGATATTTCACATTATCTTTAGCTTCATTAGCATTATCTGTTATACGTTTATCTAATTCTTTCCATTTCTTTAATATCTTACATTTAGCTATATTGATTATATTAATAGTCATACGACATTTATGAGATTTGATCTGTTCCAGCAAGGCGTTAAATCTGGCTGTAAGTTGGCGCCAATGTTCTAATTCTGCCATGGGTCCAGTATCATCTGCTTCTTTCCTCATTTGATCACTTTCAGCCAGAATCTACAAAATAACATCTTTGCTTCAAAAGATTTCAGTAATATAAGAAACAAAAAGGGTTAACATCTTCAATTGGCGTGGTTTATTTCAAATAATCTACACAAGAAACACTTATATAAAAGTAATCTATATTATGTGCAGTAAGCTGTCCATTAAAAGCCATAAATCCAGAAATTTTGATCTGCAACATCGGACTCATAATGAGATACGTCTAACTAAATGTAACAAGTACGATTGTCACATAAATAATTCTTTGAAGATTGAATTTCTAGCAAAAAAATATCTGCTGCCACAGCCAGTGATTTCAGGAATCCTGAGAAGTTTACCTGTTCTATCTGTTTACACCAGTTTGATGTCAGTTCTTCCATCATGGCCACTATTTCAGGATTACTGGCAACTTGGACACAATCACTCACAGTTTTAATACCTCCAAAATCTACCTTATCACCTTCACAATCTACTAGGCTTATACCTTCTTTAACATGGGCTTGTGCACCTGTCAAAATTTTTATATAATTCATATTTATTCCTTTATTCACTAATCTTATAGTTCATGTCTACATTTGACACACTTAATGAAAATGTGTCAAAATCTAATGTTCTAAAGACACGGTAATTTAAGTGCTCCAATTTGACATATATCTGAATCAGCAGACAGACTGATTGAATAGGCAAAAACAACCTGGTATTTTGATCAAACAATTCTCCTCTTACTTTTGAGATATGCAATAAAATTCTCTTCTAAATCTTTAAACTGAGCTTTTTTCTTCCTTCCCTCTGGTGTTTTATCCATTTCACCCCATTCTGTCTGACTTTCTAATGCAGGCTGATAAACTTTAGATAGTACTTGTTCAAATACAGCTAATAAACCTCCTTGATTAGAGGGGTCTAGATATCCAAACTGTACCTCCTAAAAACATCATTTTACATTCAATCAGTTATATTCAAAAGAATATGATCAAACTAAACAGGACAACCAAGGGCATTGGAGTTGGCAAAGTTGATAATAAGCTGGAATTTATGGTAGATGAATAAACAATTGAGCTTGTTTAAAGTTTGAGTGTCTTTTAAGGTTAGACAATTTATGATGCTAGAGACAATAGTGTATCAACATCCATTGAGGGCTGTAGAACATTTAGCCTTGTTTCTGTTCTCATTGATTGACAGAACACACAGCAAACCATAACCCTATAGGATTACACAAAATGACAATGTCTACCTCTTGGATGTTTCTCATGGTAAGGACGACATCCGTTCTTGATCTTAGGAAATATACACAGAAACCAGTCAATGGTTCTCCTGTACCGCTTGTTACAAATAATCTCAACATCTTACTACCTTTAGCTGCACCAGCTATAGTACGACCGCTTTCTACAATAGAAACAAACACCTTGTTTTTCAACCCATACACCTCGCAAACTTAGCTAAGACATGCAAATTTATTTACAGAAATATTTGTGGGTGAAAACTGAAATCAAAAAGATCTCTAAAATGAAAGTAAACATAAAAACAAATGAAAATGGTGTCTTATAAATGTCATAATTGTTTGTTCAGTTTAGGCTAATGAAGATTGTCAACTTGGCTAGTATGGTGCAATGAAGTAAAAATAGCATAGATATTTGAATTCTCCCTTTAATGATTTCTAATTGTGATGAGATGTTAAACATGCACAGCTTATATATCAGCCTCAAATTTTTGTCCCTTATGAACAAATAAACCCCAAATATAGACCTGTATCATTGAGAACAAACATCAGTGTTTAAAAATAACAGCTAGTGAGAAAGTTGTGAGCATTAGGATATCTGACTGAGCTTCCCCAACTCAACAAACATATAACTCACCTTCTAACAGAGGAACTTCAGCTTCTTGATAATAAAATTTCAAACTTTTACTTGGCATGTCTTTATCCAGAAATTGTTGAAATAACTTCATGTACTAATAAAAATAAAATAGAGATCTATCAAAGACCATGTATACTCATTACAGCATGTATTTTGTAAACAAATTTGAAAAACATCAATTGATTCATTATCAAACCATTCTCAATTAGTCCCTACCATACTTGAATATAGTCAGTTGTCTGTCCAAGATCTTAGCCACGCCCACAAAATCATACATGGATGTTCATAGGTACAGACAAACCGAAACATCTAGTCCGGATGTCAACTGGTGTAGAGACAGCAAAAAAAGGCCCTTTATATGAGGAAATCAGGCATCTCGGCAGGTGCAGGGGTTTTAAACCTATTTAGATATCTTGAAATTGCAAAACCCAGATATATTTGGAAAGATGAATTTTATTACTCATAAGAGGCACTTCTTTCTTTCTATTTACTTACAATTTCTGCATCCAAAACAAATTCTTCAGCTGCAGTTTTATCAATCTGTAAGAACTCACAGACTATGAATAAAATATGTCGATGAAGGGGGGTCAATAAGGCTCTTCTATCTTCTCTTCTTTCTTTTGCTCGAGCCTACAAAACATCATAGACATTATAACTATAATATTGTTATAATATAAAAAAAAAAAAGTTTTCTGAATACAGGCCTTGGCCTCCTTCCTCAAAAAATCTGTCAAAGTATAATTTAAATATAACATTAAAATTAGTGGACCACAGCCATATACGTCCACCACGGCATGCGGATGGTAAATATTCAAGATTTTGGGGCAAGGGCAATAACTCTGCTTCTAACGGTCGAAAATAGCTCAAATTCAAACTTGAACTTCATTTTATGAATATGTATAAACACACCAAATTTCATTTGATTCCATCAAAAAATCTAGTTTTAGAGCGTTTACAAGCAAATGTTGACGGACGGATGGACAGACAGATGGACAGGGGTGCTGACAATAAACGTCCACATAGAGAGATGTGTGTAAAAATGAAGCTTACTATAATGTTGTAAAAGTTTTTGTGAAATGAGATCCAGGTCTGGCTTGTGAGTATTTTTGTAGACATACAGTGAATCCAAGCAATATGCTTAGACAAATACCACTGCATGTAATAAACTGAATGTTTGTACTAAATAGGACGATTTAAATATATAGAATTTCTGATATAACAGACCTACCTGTTTTTCTTTAACAGTTTCAATAGGGGTAACTACAGGTGCACCAGTTAAGTTACTTCTCCTACGCTGTTTCATCATGGTAGCAAAACTTTCTTTTCTCTCCTGTAGTCCTCCTTGACCATCCTTACTTGTATTAGTCATGTCAGGACTTTTCAAAAATGACATGTAGGCCTAAAGTGGGAACAAAATCATGTTAAACAGCTCTATTGGCACAGGTGTAAAATTAATTGAAACTTTTTATTATACCTGATGATTGCCATAATTTTAAATTCATTTGATATATTTATTTCAAAGAGACAGGTAGGCAATTATTTTGACCAATCATACTTTAGTCTCAGAAACTGGAATTTTTTAGCTGAGCTTATCAGTAAATAGCGTTCACAGCTCACTGTCGAAATTTGCAAACCTTCAAATCCATGTGTGTCCAGAATTATCTGCATTTGAATGTTAAAATGACGACTCGTCAATTTAAGATACTATGTGATTTTCGTACATTTTGACTATTTACATTTCCTCCCGTGACAAATCTGTGGCGCCAACCAATTTTGAGTCAAATGATTGCACACCATTTCCCTTAAAATTCAAAGTTAAAATTCTTACTTTTTGCCAACGATCTGCCATTTTTGCTTGTTGTTATACCTGAACCCAGGAAACTGAATTACAAAAAAAAACCAAGGTCAAACGTTATTCTCAAGGTCAAATTTCAATGCGACAACCGTACCAAATTTCTCGTATCAATAAGCCACAACTTCTGACTGTCGATCTGGTTCTAAGCTAAGTTAACAAAGACACGGCCATTAGAATCAACAAGCCAGATATAAGCTAACAAATATTAGGGCTCAGATCTACATCATCAGGGAATCCTCCATACTAAAATGTTTGATTGTCCATCATATCGCAAATTCACCATGTCCATGGTTCAGCTGGCTCTATAAATCTGTAATATTTCGCAAGACTACGAAGTGTCCCATATTACCCGCCAGAAGTTACACACAGATTTAAACCGTAACGACTAGGCTAGGCTAAGCCATATTGTAAGTAATATCTGCAATGCTCTTAAAAGGGAGTAAGACTGTTTTTGAGAAGGAGTTGGAGCTGGTTTGTATTCAGAGCATAGGGCAATAAAGGGGGGAGGGGGCTATCAGCCATGCAAATGCGGCCGCCCTCTTGGCACATTAGGCTGGTTACGGGCCTGACAATATTTTGAAATTTCCTGGGAAGAAAATATGAAAATTGAAAACAGTTGTGGTCTTCATACTTCAAAAATAGGAGTTGTCTCCCTTCAACTACAAATCTCACCAGTGACAAGAACCAACGACTAGCCAACAACAACGGCAACGCGGGAACGGCACAGTGGCAAAGCTAAATCTAGGCCAACATAAAAAAAACTAAAAACATCTTCGATACTACTAGGTCTAAATATTTTCAACAGAAAAAGAAGAAACCTACCAATAGAATAGATATTATTTACAAAATTTACACACGAAAAATGACCCAAGATGCCGATGCGCATCCATTTTTGTTAATTTAGCAGACGAAAAGGACAACGTATTCAAACGACTACGCAAAGTTTGAAAACAAATTAAAAACTGGAAGTTTACTGATCACATAAGAATAATAAAACATAAAAGATATGAATGAATATGAATATATCATTTTATCAGTTCTGTAACTTTTTATTGACTTTTAAACGTTACAGTACAGAATTTCTTTAGCACTATTTTCATGCGAATTCGTAAACGTGCTTCGTGAAAAGGCATAAAACGTCAAACAAATTTGACGTCAGAAGAAATCTCATCATGTTACGTCACACCTGAAAACGACGTCATTTTGCTTCCTCCAATGTTCCTTCCAAAGCAATGTATCGCTGTTGATACATCTAAACCAGTTCTATTCCTAAACTCAACAGAAACTTATATTATGACAATTAATGGTCATTAATTTTTGGCTTTAATTTATGCCTAGTAGACTACACTATTGTGCAGTCTCTAGAAGGCTAGTCCTAATAATAGGTCAAAAAAGTTCAAAATAATGAAAATATTGGTAGGCCTATGTAAGTTTGGTCAATATAGATCATTGCTCCTAAAAACTATTTTATGGTGTAATTTTGTACCATACCAAAGGCAAAAGAAACGTCACTTGGATGAATGATATAATATTTCTTTTTTTTCCAATGCTTATATTATATGCAGGTAAAGACATTGGTCGAAGTTTGACAATCATATTCATCAAAATTAACAGTAGCCTAGGCTTATAAACAATGTTAAAGCAAATTGTGAACTTGGAGAGGCACCAGAAGACATCACAAGCTGGGGATCCAAAATCAGTACCTGGTGTGGCCGCCATGGGCGGCGACTACAGAAACACAGTTTCTGTACATAGAGTGGACTAGCCGGTTGATGGGGGCCATTGGTATCTGGGCCCATAGCCTTTCCTCAGGAACGTTAGACTGCTGCTGTTGTCGAAACCTGGGCGCACTTCATTGAGTCGGCGTTTGATCTCATCCCAAAAGTGTTCAATTGGATTCAAATCCGGACTGAGAGCAGGCAAAGGCATGACTTGAATGTTGTGCTGCTGGTGGAAGTCCCCGGTGACTCTGGTGTGGGTCGGGCCTTGTCCTGCTGTAAGGTGTGATTTTGGTGACGGACAAAAGAGCCAAGATGTGGCGTCTGGGGTCTTGGTCAATGTAGCAGAGAGCTGTGATTCCATTATCCCTGCCTGGACCAATATTCTGCAACACCAAAGGCCCCACTCCCCAGCCACCTCAAACCATATGCTTGGGCCGCCCCACGAGCCCCGTTCTATAATAATTATAATAATAATAATAATAAAATCTTTATTAGGGCCTGGTCTGGCCTTTTTACAATTTGGCCCTTCAATTAAAGGAACACAACATATAATACAAAAGAAACTAAAAACAATAAAACAACAATCACAAAAGCAGCAGAACTATGAACAGTTATATACATTTATGATTCATCTATTTATGTTGTTCTATAATTTCAAGAAAGAAAAGAGTTTTTTTTTTTACATTTTGCCAAAAGACTGATTTTTTTTAAGGATCGAGGTAAATAGTTCAGGGGCCTTTATATTTCAAGCTATTCTTATATAATGGATTTAATAGGTTTTGGAAAAAGGAATCTCTGGTTAATGGATGCATATGATGTGTTTTTATATTGAAGAATATTTTGAAGATAAATTGGACTATTACGATTTGCGATTTTAAAAAGAAAAATGTATTTATTGACTAAATGACGTTGTTGAACTGTAAGAATATTCAATGATGTGGATAAGGTTTCACGGGAAGATAACAGAGGAAAAGGTTTCAGTACTATGTTTCATTATCAATAGGCCTAGGTGGCCATCCACCATGGAATTACAGTAACGACATGTGAAGATGATTCTTATCCATTGCTGTTGACGCCAATTCTGATGCTGCCTATAGTTCATTGCAGTCGGGCCTGTCGGTGATATTTTAACTCCAAAACAATCTAAATTGTTTACGTTAACTTTTTAAGCAAAATAAACGCCAAATTGTAGAATAAATAAACAAAGCAGGCTACTAACGATCCTAACTAGAAAACAAAACCCGAAATCCAAAACAACATTTGGACGACACATAGTAGCAGCTATATAAAAGAACTTATTTAATTTCTCTTTCGACCTCTTTCAGCCCACGAATCCAACCTCTTGCAGCCCACGACTCCAACCTCTTTCATTCCACGAATCCAACCTCTTTCAGCCCACAAATCTGCTTTCTACGAACTATTGTCTTTTGGTAAACACTAGAGTTTGATAACAACCGGAATGCAACACTAGATAGATACCTTTGGTTTTATTGATAAATATAACTGTCAACACCAATGTGTGTTAGATCTTGGGTCTTATGAAACAATAAAAGATATATTTTATACCGTTATAAAGAGTTTATTTCCGGACACGATATTTGAACTCATCGTGATAACACAACAATGGGAGCGAAGTATGTATATATGAATATTTGTCCAGATCAACACGATTAAATGCGATGTATCTTGCGAAGCAATACGATCTGACCCGATGATCCCGATTACAATGGATCATGATAGTGGGAACCTAGCACTAGAATGTTTTGTAAATATTTTTTTGTATAACGTAATATAAAAGCATAACGTCAACAATGAAAATAACGTCACGTCATTATTCAGTCTGTTAACAATCCAAAGTTGAAGACGTTTCTACGCTTTGCTCTGAATTTTAACGACAAAATAGCTGATTTTCTTAACAATTATTGAAAATGGAGGCAGATCTACAAGATCTATTACCATCGTCAAGAGGAACACATTTCTCAATGGTTATGACAGAACTTCATCAAAAGTTCACAGAGGAAAACATAGGTAAGGGCGTTTTAACCTTCTTTTTGGGTCCACATTTTATTTATGAAGACCTAAAGCGGAATCAATTGACGAAAATTGAAATAGTGTACGAAACCCCTTAAACCAACTCATTCGAGCTTTCAAACTTAAATGTGAAGTCTACTTACTGGTGTTGAATCCTAAAATATAAGCCAAGGATGCTCGTTACTAACGGCATTATTTTTTGTAGGACCTATCCCACACAGTCAACCACCCACTATTCCATAGACGCTTTATATCTAGTATATTTAGTTAATCTTCGTTTTCATTACAGGTGTATATGAAGATGATTCACGTTCTTGGATAGGATGTGATTCAGCCAACGGAACAACAAACGTAATAACACCAGCCACCTCCAGCTCTGCACCAGAGTTCCGACAACCCACTACAACAAGGGAACGAAAACCAAGACATGGATTTACTCCTACGATGGGACCAATTTGTGCTGCCACTATTCAACTTGCTCTCATCAGTTTAAGACCAGTACCACACCCGGCAGATTTTCCCACGGAAACCACTAAATCTTTACTGTCATGTCCCACACAGTCACCAGCATCCAGCAATTCAATAACAAACGACGATTCTGAAGTCAACAACCAAAATGTGTTAAAAAGTATCAAAAAATCCAGAGAACTTACTCGCTCTGCCAATGCCTACCTCAAGTCCGTCAACTTCATGGTTGAATCCCAATCGGAACAAGAATATGAATGGACAAGCCAATCAAACGAAGATTTCCAACCAGAGAAGGAAGACGATGTAAACAGTATCTTTCAGAGGAAAGAACCAGAACCCATTCAAAAAGAAAACTCAACCCCTCAGCCACCAGAAATATCAATCAAAAGCTTAGAAAGCTGTGGCTCTGGTGACCAACTAAAGGACCAGAACCAACCACGGGAAACACCATCATTTTTAGAACAGATCCTTGAGGCAAAGAAGATTCTGAAAGCCGTTAAAAGCGGTGAGGAACAGAGAAACAGTGAAGACACGGGACTTCAAGACGCAGAAATAAAGGGCGAAGAGAGGAAGAAGAGTGGATTGTTCTCGGTAAGTTATAGAGATATTATCTATTAAACCACGTTCTCGTATACTAACGAGTTGCCGTAGTTTTGATAATTTATTTTTCAAGTTTTTAATAAACTTAAAACTTAAACTTTGGCAATTCATTTTAAAAAGTAGAAATTTGAAAATATTATTTTTAACGACTTTATATTTCAGTGGTTGAAATTCTGGAAAAAACAACCCAAGACAAACCAATATGGTATCGAACTTGGTATACGAAGTTCAGAAGCCTCAGCAGGCAAAGGTGAGCATTTATACTTATTACTAAGTCAGTTGATACTCTTTCCCTAAAGCTCATCTAGATCAGTCAACTTGTGTTCCTGATATAAGTTCCATCCACAGCGCACATGATTTGTACTAACTATGTGTAAAGACTCACTTGTATTCAGTTTTTTTCCGATATTTCGAAACGTTTGCTTTATTTTGGGAAATTCGTGTTACAGATTTGTAATTAAATGATGTTGGTTTTATGATTTCAGACAAGAAGACATCCAGAAGATGCAGACTCTTTTGCTGTTTTCAATCTTCACAAGTTAATGAGTAATGCTTACATCAGTAAAGATATATAATTTCGGATATGGAGGCGCACGATCACAGACCACGTAACAATCTATGATGTGTCACCAATTCGACTCACCTGAAAGTAGGGCGCCGCTTTCGGGCTCCGCAGCTTTCGTTGGACGTTACGGAAAGGATTCTGTATTGGAAAATATCAAAAGTGTTGTGCTGTTGTGCCTTTGAAGATTGTATACAAACTCCACTTAAAAAAAAGGTGGGTTGTGAAGCGAAGGAACCAGACATTTCGTATTGGTTATATTCAAAATATGGCATTTACTAAGTAGTTAGTAGGCTATTAATGCAATTGAAACATGGTCATGATAACCAAGAATAAGTGAATGAAGGAAACACAAGGATGTGATACGGAAATTTACGGTAATATTTCAAAGAAATATGAGTATATATATCTGATCAACGTGCTAATACATACAAAATGTGTGGGCTAAACAAATGTAAAATGTGCTGGATAAAAAAAGGTAAAATATGTGGACTATACAAATGTAAAATGTGCAGGCTAGAAAGGCAAATTGTGCCGACTATACAAATGTAAAACCTATGCGATAATACAGGTAAAAAAGGTAAAATATGTGGACTATACAAATGTAAAATGTGCAGGCTAGAAAGGCAAATTGTGCCGACTATACAAATGTAAAACCTATGGGATAATACAAAATTGTGAATGATTATGTGATAATAAAAACGTGGTGTATTTAATGACACAAATAAGTATGTGATGATACAAAACAGTGTATAATGACACAAATAAGTATGTGATGATACAAAACAGTGTATAATGACACAAATAAGTATGTGATGATACAAAACAGTGTATAATGACACAAATAAATATGTGATGATACAAACAAATGGTATAATTATACGAATAAGTTTGTGATGATACAAAAACGTGTATAATGATCGAAAAAGTATGTGATGATACACAAAAGTGTGTGGTGTTACAAGAATATAAAATGTTACAATTAAGTATGTGATGATACAAAACAGCGTAGGTTTATGATATGAAAATGCAAGAATGTATGCAATAGTTTATAATATATATCTTATACGAAAAATATATGTAAAAAGTATACTTGATAATACGCATTATGTAATGGCAATATCTTAATTTTAACTACCTCACTGATATGCTGTCAATAACTAATGTATTTAATATAAATAAATACAAATTGTACAAAAAGGAAATAAAATATATTTTTTATAAAGAAGCTTTTGTCAAAGATGCCCCTCCAATCCCAACCATCTCCCCGGTTTGGTTACCATCTTGATTTTTAAGGTTTTTAATGACCCAACACACTTTTTAACAATATGTTGGACGGGGGTTTTCCCTAGCTGATTGAGTAATGAGATGCCGTACACTCGTATAAACCCTTGATGAAGTAATGTGGTTTTGGTTAGTGATATCAGCATCAGCTGGAAGTGGACGTAAACTTGTCATGTACCAACCAACCAATCCTGTCTCAAGAAGAAATCATTCTCATTCCACTTAAAATTCTTTTTAAAAAAATATTTAATTTTCATTACAATGGAAAGGGTATAGTGAAACAACATGTTTTTTAACATTCAGAAGAGGATATGTTAATTTCAGAAGACACTGACATTTTTTTCATCAGATTGGTCTTCCATATATTAGATATACAAATCACAATTAAAACTCTGAAAGATAATACGAATGGCCACGATATATGTACAATCAGATACCAGGCAAGATTTCCATAAAATTTGATCTGAATCGGATTTGTCTCTTCGTTTTGAACGACTGCTACATCGATTCCAAATAAGGCAACATTGGAAACCAGAAGGAATGTCAAAATCTCGCGCCCAGGTTTCACTCTTCTGTGATCGTTACTTTTTGAACACATACGCATTCCACATAAGGTCAAGACAAACTGTAAAGTGATCTCCAACATCAAGATTGAACTGGCGCCGACGACTATGCCTGAAGATTCGGTTTTTACTTGATGAGCAGCAACGATACTGAAGAGATAGAATGAATAAACACCGAGTAAGGATATCAGTAGAAGAATCTCTTCCAACTCGATCCTTTTCTTAGCTTCAAAATGCAGAGTTTTCCAGTTCCAGAAAGCCAAGATGGCGGCTACCGACAAGATGATACTAACTATAATTTCTGAGATATATTGAGTTCTAAATGCTGTGGATTGACTAATGAAGTCACCTTTTAAGAGCACGACAAACACTATGGAAATGATCACTGTGACGACTAGGATAAGTACACCAAAAAACAGTCCTCGACTAGCTCCCGAACAATCCTGCTGTTGCTTTGCGGTAGATTTTTTATAATCTTGATGACATTCGTTTGTTTTGTATCCATCAATGTTTTTCCACATCATACACAGGATTCCTGGAATAGCAATCGTAATCTTGGCTAGAGTCTTATAACAAATGAGTTGACCAATATGAGTTGTCAAGATTTCTCCTATGAACCACCAGAAGCGTATTTATCTTTCGAACAAGGTTTCAACCATTCAGAGATGCAGATCGTAGATGTTGACATGGAGAAAGCGTCGAATCATTCATATAGGAAAATTGTCCGTCGACATAAAACTAAAATTAGACCAAACTTTCGTTCCCTTTTTATATAAGCTTTTATTTTTAATATTTCTACTTCAGTTAGGGTCTAAAGACAGGCCTCTTCCATTCGTCCCAATAACCTTTTGACTTAACCTGATAACCCCTGCAAATTTCTGCCCTCTCCATCGCTAGGATTAAGGGTTAATTTTAATTAGACAGTGCCAAACCATCATTATTGAACATTTGAAAAGTCAAGATGTCAAGATCCCATTGGAGACGTAGAGTTCCTTACCTGAGCATACAAAACTGTACTGTATGATACACGGATATAAATATGAGTTGATGCTTTCAATAATATCACCAAGATTAGTTTTCAGGCGAGGTATACCGGATGAGTTCGTAGCAAGCGTTGTAATATTAACTTCTGATAGTTCTAATGTTGATGTCACAGTTTCTGCTAACCAGACACAGATATTGGTCGCCGCTAAATGACTGAGACCGAATCGGACAACTATTTTATTGTGTTTGAAACACGCCTGCAATTATAGATATCAAATTAAATTCAAATTTCTGTCATAGATATAATTTCGGCACAGATTGTCCTCCATAGTATTACATCTTCAAAGATTTCCAGATATTACCATGGAGTAACTGTCTTAATGAGGATAATATAAATCAGAGACCAGAAATGTGGAATCTTAGCAAAGGCATATCTAATTAATTTGGGAATAATTGAACGCTGTATAGTTAGGATTTGGTCAGTTTGTGAAAGAGAAAAAAATGCCAGTTAAGTACAAACCTTGGAATATCTAAATATAAAATAGAGCTGTATAAAAGTAAAGATAATGTGTAATGACGATGAAACACCTTCTATAATTACAACTGTTTGTAGCTCATTAACCTTTTCTAGAAATTCTCCCAGTTTTAACCCCGTCATTATCATACTTCCTATTCCAAATCCTAAAACAAAAGTAGGCCTATTGAAATATAGATATAAAATATAACTGGGCTATTGAGCGCGAAATCGGTTGCTCGTCGTTACTTTCGGCGGTATATATTCCTAAAATATTATCTGAAAGAAACTATAACTGATAGCCTAACTCTTCAACATATTACTTTACATGCCGTTTAAATTTGAAATAAAAACAATTCGCCACATATTATCACCTTCCGTACTCACCCATTGCTGTCAAACGTAAATAAAAACTGCCAGCAGTAGACTTAAAATCTAGAGGGTTATCTTTTGCTTCATCCAATCCTTTACTATTCGCCTCACTAAATACAATTTCTTTACTCAGGAAATAACGTATGCGTGTCCGCAAGGGGGTCGTTCGTAACAAACAGAGCATGGCTAGTACCAAGAAAGCTTTACCAGTTATAAACAGGTACAAACTAAATACCTGGAAAAGATGAGTAAGATATCAAACGGAATTGAAACGAATAAAGCTACGATTACATGAGCACGCAAACTCAAACTCAAACGCAAACACAATAGAGCAAATCCTATTCAAATCCTTAGCAAATCCAATTTTCTGCTTACACTTGTCCTCAAACTCAAACTCAACACCTTCGAAACAGCTGCGATTACATGTGTACGTAAGCGTAACTCACACTCAAACAGTGATTACATGTGTCTGTTCGATAATTCCGTAAAATCGTCAACGTAAAAGGGAAACTGCATATTATTGGGTCAGCAAACATCCTCAGTTATGATGTCATAAAGGAGATTCCATCTGTCATCTGTTGCGCTCACGGAGGAAGTGTTGAGTTTGACAATTATTTGATTTGATATGGATTTGAATAGGATTTTCTCTCCTCCGTTTTTTTACGGAGTTTCAGTTTGCGTACACATGTAGGCTTATCGCAGCTTAAAACATATTTTGATACACAATCTGTTGACACACAGTTTGGATTTAGTTTATCCATTCGTCACCACGGGATTACTCTAATTCCAATAATTTACTATCGTTTCACACGAATTATGTTCGAAAAGTAACATGGGCTCTAATAAGAATATACTATCAAATGCTCATATTCTTACCTCTCGTAAAGTTTCAAACATAAATAGGAATAATTATTGGTCACAGGATCAAAGAATTTGATCTCAGCGGATCAAATAAAGATATATATACCTAATGAAACGGTGATATTTTTGCAAACACTTACCAAATGTGAGTTGTATGATGAATCTAGAGTATAGGTCCTTGATATATTTATAACTAAACCCAACAAGACCATAATCATACCATATAATGCACTGAATATCATTCCCAAATATTCACTAGAAATAGATTTTAGACGGCCGAATTAATGTATACCAGGCCCGAAGTCAGACTGGTCAGACAGTCAGATTGTTCAATGTAATATATCCGGAGGGGCAATGAGGTATAAATATGCAAATGTCGACTGTTGAACACAGGAGTCAGATGTTTCAAAGATTATTTAAAGATTAAGATGATTTGCCAACAACTTACAGAATTGGTTTATTCAGGTAGTGAGGTATATTAGATAATCTGTGACGTAGTGTGGACCTCTTTGATTTTGAATCTCCATCTTCTAATATGTGAAGATCGTCATCTCTTGCTTCTAAAATAGAACAAAAACTTTCAGATAAGGTTAACGTATAACGTGAGCCCATTGACAACTTGGTTTCAATTAAAAACTATCATCACCAGCATGAACTAGTTGTGGTATAGACAACAATATTATGGCTGAACTAGATGAACTTCATTCAAATAAGACAAAAGCTCTAATGTATCGTGTTGACAAGATGAATTATGATGACTTTGAAGAAATGAATATCTTTAAAGTCACTGCTCAGCCCAGCTTGGTAAGCATTTAAAAAGCTTTTAAGGGGAAAAGCAACACACGCTTCCAATCAAATCCTGCTTACCTTTTCTACGGTTTTCCAGTTCTCCCAAATCTGTGGAAACATAGAAATCTTCACTATCTTTAATAAATCGGTACTCGTCTTCAAAAATCATCCTGTTTCCCATAGAGTTCGGGTTGTTCTCTTTCTCATACATCAAAATATCTCGATAGTTGTCTTCATTTAAACCGCCGTCACTCATATAGAATTTCACCCTCGGGGAAGACCGTGGGGATCGGGACATCATGTCCTTACCCGTCTTCCTTTCAATCTTTACACCCAATTTGACCCCATCGTCGTCTGCCATCTTTTATTTCTAGGATAACTATAAACAATGAAAAGCACATGTCACATTTCATTTCTAATCATATTTATTTAAAACTTATCCTAATTAAATCACACAATTTCTAATTAATTTTTTGTCTCGAAATGATACCATATTTTTCTTGTAATACAACATAGGGAATATTTTAAAGTTTCAGATGTCACGTACATCGTACACATCAAAGACAATATGAGCATTTAGAACACAAAATATCAAAAAGCAAAAACCATATTTCTAGTAAGGTAATATAGCCTTTTGAATATTTGGTTTTCAACTTGATAGAAATCGGCTGTCTTTGTGAAGATTACGAATGGTTCGTCTGTTATTTCAGAAAGAAATGAATAAATAAAGGAAGTGACATCAGCCCCCTCTCCAGCTTCTCCCAAATTATTATTGAACTTCCCGATGTTTTTACAACCAGTGATAAAATTTTCTGTAATTACAGACGAATCTGACGTCGAATATCAGTCTAAAAAGTGATACGTACTGCTGCATTTGATTTGTACCAGCTTTGAAGGAAAATACATAGACGTCGATTTCATTTTGTTACCGAACAAGATAGTATCTGACCATTATGTACCATCAGACCTGACATTATATTTCAGCTTATCTACTACAACTATTTTGTTAAAAACAAATACCCATTACCTGTATCCTATAAAGCTAGTAAGTAAAATGTTTTCCAAAAATATACAATCACCCAATCATTCCGAAAAGAAATAGCTAATTGTCATTAGATTTCATTTAAACATTGCGCGTGTACGTCTTTTTTAAAAAACGAACTATTTCAAGATACTTCTAGAACAAGTTATTATTTTTCGTCACAAAATGTTAAACTTGGTGCTCATCGAAACAAATAGATTAAATATTTACATGTAAAATAAATAGTAGCCTACGATTGTAGGTGTATTTGGCTAAACCGTGATCCATACATTAATGGGTGTGGACGTGACTAAAACTCGGTAAGATATTTTCAATGTATCCTTGGACCAACTTGAAACAACATCCCAATTCCAGTTTTCACATATCATTGTTTAACTTATGAGCTAATAATAGGGTGTATTTCACAGCTTCAAAAAATATGAATGAAATTGCTAGCAAAGTATCTCTTTAGACCAACAAGCTGTTCAATATTTCAGATCATGTTCCAGGACGGCCGCTCTTTACATTCAAGTTCACACTTGCGTTTTAAAGCGAGTTGCATGCGTTTCAAGCCTTAGAGTGCATCAACGCGTCACACTGAAACCGCTATGAACTCATATGGCTTTAACCAAATCACTTTTATTACTTTTAAAACTTTAATGGAAGCGGGTTATCCATCGCGCTTTCCGACAGCGAGCTTATCGCGCTATAAACACAACCAACATTTCAGGCATGCGTTGTAGCTATTTTCACAATCTCTTCCGATCTACGGCATGGGGACAACCTGATATTGATTCACGTGTATTTTTTTCGTGTCACTGCTTGTAATGACCGCAACAAATTGAAGCATTGTATGGTCGAGGCCAAAGCGACCGCTCTTGCTACAGATATATAAATGTCGGATTCTCAACACCCGTCTACGCCCATTCTGTCACATTCTTTGAAATAACACCATGCACCATAAAAAAAACAATAGAAGCTGAATTCTACCATCGTTTTCGTTTTCCGTCTCTTGATCATGTTGATCCATCTTGGAATGAATGACCTTCACACTCTGTGAGAAGTTTAAGAGGGTGCATTGGTTTATACCGGGTTATATCTCAGTGTGACGCGTTTATACCGCATCGAATCGCCCCAGAGTATATAGTGTGACGCTATCAAATTGAATGCGCTATAACGAAAGCGAATTCCGGTGATCGCTTGTCGGAAATCGGTTTGATATCGCTTTCAGTGGCCTTAGAAAATATTCGAATGCGAACTACACATTAAAAGAACCATTGCAATCACGTTTCAAACCCGGTGCATACAGACTGGAACTCGATCATTTCACATAGCTAATAATTACATATTTTAGAGATACTTACGTATTCTTGAAGATACACTGTCTCCTTTACAACAATAATTAAAATTTGCAGATATTTTTGTTTGAAATTTTTCCTAACGAATCAAGTATTGACTTATAGTATTAAATCTGTTAAGAAAACGTGATTCTTGACCTGAATACGATGACTGTGTCAAAATCACATACTTAACACAATCAGTCTAACTTCTGTTTGAGAAAAGTAATCAGCTAGAAGAAGGCATGACTTATAGATTAGTGCCCATCTAAATATCTCATATTGTAAATTAAAATCGATATCGAATATTCTAAGGCATCTTCACAATGTCAAGCTATTACGAACTGCGTCATATCCCTTGACTGTAATAGCCAACTTTCTTGTATCACTGAAGTTTGTAGATGCAGCGATGTGATTGGAGTGTACACTAGAGAATGTATCCAATCAGAGCCCTCAACAGATAGTCTTTATGTTTATTACGGTCTTATGTCGAGGGCTCAGATTGGCTGTATTCGTTGAATATACAATCCAATCAACACGCAGCATTCAGCGATAAAGAAATGTGGCTTTTGCAGTCAAGGTATAAGACGCAGTTCGTAACAGCTTGACATTGTGAAGATGATTCTGAGGAAGAGATTAACATACTGATTTTAACCAGAAGTATTATATTGTTTTCTAAGTTGAATCTCCGTGTATATGAGTCGTAGTGTCTGCAATGGCAAGTGATTTAATAGATTGGAATTTCTGTCGTCTAAAGCATCTAATCCTTCGAAATATAGCAGTGGTTCCCAAACCGTTTTCAGCCTTCACACCCTTGCTCGCCTGGACCTTTCACACCCCCAAAAATTTGTTTCATCCACATTTCCAGTATGTGATGATGTGAGGTGCTTTCTTTGACCACACCCTTGACGCCGTAGTCCTTATTTTGGGTCTTGACTATATATGAATATAATTCTTTCCATAAAACACTCCAACTAGAAATTTCACTTTTAATTTTATTAATGTATTTTTTTTTATGTATGACATATGGAAATGAAGGATCAAATTTCGACGGTCAGCTGTGGATACCATTACTGATAATAGCTTAGCTAAAAAAAAGATCCTGTTTCTGAGACTATGGTACGGTTTTTCAAACAGATGGCCAACCTGTCCTTGTCCCAATGTTTGCTGTAGAGGGGTCACGTTGAGAAATTCTAGAAGTTTTATCATAAATTCAACCAGTGATGGTCCCATTTCTGTTTATTCGAAATATTACAGACCTATAACAAAGTTTATAATATACCCAATTAGGCTATCCAATATGTAGTGTATAGAAGTACAGAACAAAATAAAGAGAACAAATTAATTTAATAGAAAAAATGAGTTAAAAAGGAGGTAAAAATTCATGAATTACTATCAATGACTAGAAATTATACAAATATACAAAAATATTAAAAACAGTGCACGTAAGCATTAAGTAAGTATTACGAGGTTTTAACTCAAATTCCTTTTATTACGGATAGCTCGCATTCTAAATGCGAAATGTTTGAACCTATATTCTTTACATGCTCACTGTTTATTCTCATGTTCCTCTAACAAGATAGGTACTCTTTTTGATTTACTTTTACACAAATGAAAATGCACAACAATGATGGCAGGTCCTTGAAAATATATATTAATGATATGACACTAGCTTTTTAGCCCTAATTAAAATATGAAATAATATTAGCCGATGTATATAAGGTCTCAGTCTAATTAAAATTAGGACAAAGTTTCGATCCGTGGTGTATTAAGTTTTATTTTTCATATAGCCACTTAAGATGAATCTAACGACAGCCCTTTTGGACGTTCGTCAAATTAACCTTTTGACCTAACCTGATAAACACTGCGTCACAAAACTCTAGCGCTGGAGTGGGTATGTGATTGGTTTAAGCAGACGTCATCGAGTTAAATCAAAAGGCATCATATCACGAATACGGGTTTTGACATGTTCTTATAAACCCCGAGGAAGTATGACCAATGTGATGAACGGCCAAAAAAGGCTGTCGTTAGACCTTAACTGAAGTAGTTATATCAAAAATAAAGCTAATAAAAGAACGGAATGAAAGTAGACTAGTCTGGGTCTGAAAATAAAATCAAACCAAAATTTTCTAGGTAGCTATAGTCTACCATACAATTATTTAATAGGGGGTGTTGTATTCTGTTTTTTTCCTGATAAACCATAAAATCACAAGATAGTGTTGTATGTCTTGAATTTTACACATTTGTTCTACAGCAGTCGAAATATAGCCTACGGAAGGCGGTTGAGGGCATCCAAGATATTATTTCTAATATCCAAATATCCTTTGCCTTAACAAAATTGCATACAACACAATATTACTGTAACCGTGACGTACAACGAATCCCCGTTTTGTAATATATCATATATTATTATTTGATTGTCTACCAATGAATCTTTGAGGTAGATGCAATGACGTTGAGGTCAGATTCAAATATTATTACAAATGCCATTTATCGAAAGATTACAACAGAAGAGTTCAGCCAAACTAGATTCGTCCTACGCGACGTTTCCAGGCGTGCTTCCAAATATTGGCCAAACAAACTGTAGAATGAAAGCGGAAGAAAATGGCCAATGGACTGGAAACATGAGTAAAAATAGTCCAGGGTAACAATCCATAGAATTTCATTTGTATCGGATTAGCTTCTGTTTGTTGCACCTCAAAAGTATTTATACCCCACAAGGCTATATTAGCTACAAGTAAAAACGTCACAAATTCACGTCCAGGCTTTCCTTGTTCGTGAGATTTGGTCTCCGCGAAGCGTCTTAGCGTATTCAAAATGAACAATGTCTGTAAAGAGGCTTGAAACATGCGCAACACACTCGATATGATTATCAACAAACTGGCGATTTTAGACTGAGAAAAAGATGCAGCTGTAATACTGAGTAATGAAAATACAAAAATGCCAAATAGTCCTATAACTAATAATGTTTGTTCCAAGTCTACTTCGCGCTGAGAACGGAATCCTAGCGGCTGCATCTTATAAAATGCTATTATAACCGCAACTGCAGTCATAACGTAACAAATAATTTCTGACAAATGTTCCACCATAACCGCATCACCACTTCTGCTTTTGATTCTGATCATGACAAAGAAGGCAATAATATTGATAACAACAGCTACGAGTAGAAATATTCCAAGAAACAATCCACGACTAGAATTAGAACAATCCACTCCAAGACGATTGGCTTTCATCTTTGCCGCCCATTGTTTGTCCTTCTGATTCCGATCACCAACTTTACCAACATTTCTCCACATTATGAAGATTATACCTAAAATAAGAAAATATTCAAAATTACATTCGCTTGTTTCCCCCCGACAGGAAGAAATAAAGGCACCATGGCACCGGATATGAAACCGGAATGGTGAGTCTCGATACCCATACTAAGGTTTGAAATTCTTTTTGAGGCCTTTCAGTAATTATCTTACCCTTAAAAATGTCTCGTCCAATTTGAAAATAATGTTGTGCCAGAAAGCGGTAAGTTACGACAAAGAAATCTTTGGGGTAGAATTTTGGGTTTCCATTGGTTTTTAGTACTTACCAGCACAGATAAGACTATATTCTATACTACAGGGATATAAATATGGTCCTGAAGATTCTACTACTGTATTCATTATACTTTCTTCATTACAACGTTTATGTACACCAGCTTGTGATACTGAAAAAAAAAATCAAAAGAATTTATTTTACTATTACTATTCATTTTTGTCTTAGTGACTATATAATAAGTCAGACGTTCTTTTGCATTTGTCTTAGTGACTATAACTAGGCCGAGGTACTTTTACTTTTTTTTTAGTAACTAGAACTAGACAGAGTTAATATTACTTTTGTCTTAGTGACTGTAACTAGCCCTAGGTACCTTTACCTTAGTGACAATAACTAGACAGAGGTCATATTACTTTTGTCTTAGTGACTATGACTATAACTAGGCAGAGGTCATCTTACCTTTGTCTTAGTGACTATAACAAGGCAGAGGTCATATTACTTTTGTCTTAGTGACAATAACTAGGCAGAGATCATATTACTTTTGTCTTAGTGACAATAACATAAGGCAGAGATCATATTACTTTTGTCTTAGTGACAATAACATAAGGCAGAGGTCATTTTACTTTTGTCTAAGTGACAATAACTAGACAGAAGTCATATTACTTTTGTCTTAGTGACAATAACTAGGCAGAGTTCATATTAATTTTGTCTTAGTGACAATAACTAGACAGATGTCATATTACTTTTGTCTTAGTGACTATATCAAGGCAGAGATCATATTAATTTTGTCTTAGTGACAATAACTAGACAGACAGAGGTCATTTTACTTTTGTCATAGTGACAATAACTAGGCAAAGGTCATATTAATTTTGTCTTAGTGACAATAACTAGGCAGAGGTAATATTAATTTTGTCTTAGTGACAACAACAATAGGCAGAGGTCATTTTACTTTTGTCTTAGAGACATAACTAGACAAAGGTCATTTTACTTTTGTCATAGTGACAATAACTAGGCAAAGGTCACATTAATTTTGTCTTAGTGACAATAACTAGGCAGAGGTCATATTAATTTTGTCTTAGTGACAACAACAATAGGCAGAGGTCATTTTACTTTTGTCTTAGAGACATAACTAGACAAAGGTCATTTTACTTTTGTCTTAGTGACAATAACTAGGCAGAGGTCATATTACTTTTGTCTTAGTGACAATAACTAGGCAGAGTTCATATTAATTTTGTCTTAGTGACAATAACTAGACAGATGTCATATTACTTTTGTCTTAGTGACTATATCAAGGCAGAGATCATATTAATTTTGTCTTAGTGACAATAACTAGACAGACAGAGGTCATTTTACTTTTGTCATAGTGACAATAACTAGGCAAAGGTCATATTAATTTTGTCTTAGTGACAATAACTAGGCAGAGGTCATATTAATTTTGTCTTAGTGACAACAACAATAGGCAGAGGTCATTTTACTTTTGTCTTAGAGACATAACTAGACAAAGGTCATTTTACTTTTGTCTTAGTGACAATAACTAGGCAGAGGTCATATTACTTTTGTCTTAGTGACAATAACTAGGCAGAGATCATATTAATTTTGTCTTAGTGACAATAACTAGGCAGAGGTAATATTACTTTTGTCTGAGTGACTATAACTAGGCAGAGATCATATTACTTTTGTCTGAGTGGCTATAACTAGGCAGAGGTCATTTTACTTTTGTCTTAGTGACTATAACTATAGCAGAGGTACTTGTACTTCAACCATTAGAAACACTATAACCAAACTAAGATTGCTTTCAACTCGACTCTTATTCCTTGACTGAAATAATTCATCATACGTAAAGTAGGAACCTAATTGTTATCCATGTCACGAAGTAGAAATTGCAGAAAAGGTAATTTGTTTCTACATGATTAACTGAGATTGGAGAAGTATAGTTTACTTACTATGTGAATAATTGAGATCAGAAGAATCTTTTATTTCTATCAGAGTTTCATGTATAATGTTCTCTAACCATACACAGATGTTGGTGGCTACTAAATGCATTAAACCAAATCTTGATATAAGTTTATACTCCTGTATACACACCTATATAACAAATTGACAATGATCTCAAATTACTTCAGCGATTTTAAATATGGATAAAAGTCAACATTCAAGAATCAAAGGTGATTAAATTTTTCGAACTAAAAACTGTTAACACGATACAAGTTTTGGTTTTTAATTCCTTCTTCCAAACCAGCTGGCCTGAGGATGGAATTTATATCCGAAACACGTATCAACAACATGAAAGCGTGCATCACAATAATAAACAGTCAGTAATTATCTTCCTTGCATTGATATCGTAAAAATAACTGTAAATGGAAATATTCTGAATGGGATTTCAGACAACATTCAATATTAAATGTAGTTATTTCCCATCGATCTTCGTATCCAACAGGCAGATTCTAAACGTCTATTAAAATTTACTTACCTTGGAGTTTAAAAAGACAAAATAAAGTTGTATAAATGTAAAGAATAAATGTAATATTGGGCGGAAACCAAAGGTTAAATGCTGACAGCCAGAAAATGGATCATTTTCAAAGAAAATTCCAAACTGTAACCCACTCTTAATCATACTTCCAATACCAAATGCTGAAAAATAACATGGCTGAATGAATGACCTAGAATGAATAAAATAAGGAACGGATGAGGGAACGGGATCAGGAAAACTCGGTTTGGTATAAACACATTACATGTACATGCATATAACATCACTAATAACTAACAACGTTTCGACAATGCTGTCCTTCTCTTAGTTAATCAAGCAATAATGGTGGTGTGGCTACATCCCACATGATAGATTTGATCTCGGGAATATCCATAAATACAATAAAGGAAATTTGTTCTTACCGACTGCACCTAGTCTGAGATAAAAACTACCAGTGTGAGTAAAGGTAGAGTTATCATAAGTATATTTCTTTATACTTGTTGATTTCTCTATAGCGTTCACAAGATCTTCTTCAGTTTTACTTCTCTTCTTACAACAAGAACAACCTCGTTTACAGCTGGGTGATTTTAGAACAAGTATATAAATAAATAATATAAATAACACACTAACTCCGTATAAATAAATATAAAAACCCTGAAAAATATAAAATATAAACAGTGTTATAACAAGATATATATATAGGTTCCAGGTCTATCAAGTACCGTACATAGAATATATGCTTAAAACCCCTAAAAACTAGGAAAATGATAATACATTCGATAGCACAGTTTATACCCACTGGAAATATCCCCATTTGATTAAAAGAATAAACATTGTTATTTATACTAACCTGAAAGAGGTATGGTCTCTGTATTGAAGTAAAAACCTCTGATACGGGTAAAATAGTACCCAATATTATTAATAACATGGCGTATAATCCACTTAAATTAACGAACAAACTATCACTGAAATGGAGAACATGATTCAAATATTGTATTATATATATAATCAACAAAAATATCGAATCAGGGGAAGCAATTTATACGTGTATGATTCAATAACGATTTGCCACCCCAAATACAGTAGAAAAAGGAAAAAGCGAATACACGACATAGTGTGGGTACAGGTCTTTTGTTATCTATTGCACTGACAATTCTGCTCCGCACTACCCCCGTAGGCCAAGAAACCGTACCTCGTCTTTCCCACCTAGGAGCAATTAGTTGTTAGGAGTAAGAAATTAGTGCAATCCTGCACAGTGAAAGAAAAGTGCAGAACTTACACAACTGGGCTATTAAAGATGAGATTAAAAGATAATCTTCTGTGTGATTTATCATAACGTTTATTAGTTGGTGATGGAGGTGGTGTGTCTGGTAGAAAAGCTTCATCTTGACCTGGTGAATTATCTTCATTACCAATACCTGAAATTCAAAGATTTTTCTGAATTCCGCACTTGTTTGATCATTCTTTACGAAATCAATTGCCTTGGGGCATGCGCTTGTCTTATTTTTCATTATTTTTTTTTTTTTTTTGACTTGCTGATCTTGATTAAAGTATTGTACCCGTAACGTTTTAAAAACTTAAACACTTCCGGCGTAATACGGGTTCCATTGAATCTAAGAACACCATCGGATATTTGATTATATTTTTCGAAAAGTCTGCTTCGGGTGCCATAAGAGTTTCAGTCTATTTTGCTTTAAACTATCAATTGCATATAAGAATGTCCAACTAGCCAGCAGGTTTTGGCAATGACAAGTTTCTGTGGTCAGATTTTGAACGATCACAATGGATTTGTGGAACAATTTGAGGCTGAAAACTAAAGATATTTCATTTTGTCCACAGAAATCCAAATTCATCTTCACATCCCTATGTTTATTTTGTATATGTTTATTCTTAACTTTGTTGTAAGATTATCACATTTCTTAACGTAAACATATATCAAGATTTTGACTGATCAAAAAAGATACATATCAAGATATCAAAATACATGTTTTCAGGTAAAAAGGTTATCAACTGAGAAGATTTATCATTAAATATTTATTTGTATAAATATTCCTTACTTGACAGATGGACTAAAATAGCAAACTACATCGTATGATTATTATAACACGTTTTGTATCAATACAAACTCTTAAAGGAATCATTTCGTGTAATAAAGCAAAGTTTTAGATTACTATCAGGTATTCCGTGCGATTCGAGTCTTTGAAGTTGCAGTTGGTGGTTGACCAAACTGTCAGTGTTGCATTTTCTTTTGACAGAATGTCTACCAGACTTTTCTTAGATAAGCATGTTATCGTCTGGCACTGGAAAGATATATGAAGGTTACTTCCGGTATAAAGTACCCCAATTTCCGGTTATCTCGAAGCCATATATTCCAGACGTTAATAGGATACCTATGCTAGAATGTTTTGCAGTATGTAAGACTGGTAAGTGACTGGGGCAATAAATTGTGGTTATTTGTTTCGTAAATCAAAATGTCTGATAATAAATCAGTTCCAGGCCATTCCACGTGACAATTATTCCTGGTTTTATTTGGCATTAACTGCTGTTACACCGTTATGGTTGGTTGAGTGGTAATTTTATGAGCGCTATTGAGTACACAGTATGACAGGTTTTAAGATAGGGCCATGGTGCCAAACTAGATTGATTAAATAGGAACTTTTTTCGGGTTTAGTTTAAGTTGTGACCTCATTTTAAGATGGTTACACATAATTGCTGGAAATTCTCATATTATATTATAAAAATTTACTAGAAACTGTACCTTTAAGAAAATCATTTCATTTTTCACAAGACAAACATATTGGTACTCAGACAAGTTGCAATGAAAAATTCAGTAAAAATGTTAGTAATTTACATTTGGTTTACATTTAGAATCGTGTTTTCTCGTTAATGTACCTGTGTTTGAATCATTTGAAGTCAAGATCAAAAGAAATGTGTATGTTTTCAAGGATCATAAACCCACTTCTATATTTATTTATAAATAATAGTATGGAGTTGGTAGAATGGATGGCACCGCTGTTTTTGTACACTTTTTCAAAATATTTCATTTGGTATAAAGAAGTGTTATGTTTAAGGATTAATTTGCAAGAATGTTCTGAAAATACTTCAATTCAGTCCGGTTGCAAAAATATAACACCTCTTTTCAACTCCGACTCTTTAAGACTAACAAGGATGAGACGAAAACTGTGTAAGTTAGAACCAGGCTGTCTAGGGGCAATGGAGACCACAGGACATCGCAATAGTAGATTGGTGCAATACTTTTGTATGCAGTTGTTTATGAAACTTGTCATTTGCATTTATGAATGTCAAAAGCCCCTTGAGTTCAACGGAGCTCTACAATACGTTTATAAAGTTTCTGACTATATGTGACCGATTATCTAGTCATACGACCATTAAGAAAATTTCACCTTGACATTTCTAACGTTAACCAGATTCCAGAAAAACTAACAATCAAATGGTCAGTTATAATTAAATATTTTAGGTCAGTTTATTTTTCTACAGGAATTTCTAGGTTAATGACAATAGTATACAGATTTCAGAAGGATAAACTATGCCAATTTTAATTCTAATCAGTTTGATTAGTTTCAGACATAAATTGTCCAATTGGCTACGACTGGGTTACTGAGCCTACCATGCAAATTGGTGTTTTGTGTATCGAATCTGTCTCGGTAACGAAATGAAGATTTCGCTGTGTATTATGGGACCTTTATTCGAACTACCAGTATCAAAATCTCGTGATCAAGTGATTATTTGGATATAGTTTCAGTAAGTGATGGTTGTCATTCAATACAATGATATGTGCTAGTGGAATTTTCACTGTTTAAAATCTCGGGATCAAAAGATAGAAGGTTAGATCAAAAAAGGATAGATATCCTTGAGTCAGACTGGGCCTTGCTACCATCATTCTGCCATACTTGTCATATATATTGATATGAAAGATGAAACTAATATTGGCCCACCTGAGGTGATATTTTAAGAGTTTAGTCTACATTCTTTCCTCCCGCCTTCACTGGAATTTAATCTATTTCATTGCTACCGACGGAAAATAAAAACATTCTGTTATTACAGATTCCCAACTACTGGTTGAAGAGATTTATCGATAGCGTAAGTTTATACAGATACGATTTTTTCGAGGAAACAGGCTAATGTGATAGGTCGCTATATTCACAATCATATAAAAGTTGGGATCGTTCGTCAGTCATGGTTCAATATAAGATTGGCTTATCGTACGAACTATTGGACAAACTGCGATGAGGCTAAATTGAACCCTGAAGTATAGATGTTAAATGTAGAATAATGGATGGAAGAAAGAGACACGGGAGTAGATATTAAGAAGAGGGAAAGAGCGAGGGATTAGCAGAAGAGACGGGTGAAGAATAGGCAGAGAGAAGACGGGGGTGCTGAAGTAGAGGACGAATTGAATATTATTAGAATGGCAGTGGGTACCGAAGCAGACACAGAGTTGGTTCGGTAATGGTCTAAGGGATATTCTCTTACATTGAAAGGTACGTACTGTACCTCCGTGCAATGCTTCGAATTACAGTTCTCGGAAGACTTATTATGTATCGCCGCCTACAATCTTTCTTAACGAATTAAAGTTTGCCTTTTACAAAAATTCATAAGTATCCTCAATGGTCAAATAAATTGCAGCAATTTCCTTCCCTTGAAATAATACGTTACTATTTAAATTAAATATATTTGTTCACATTTCATAAAATGTCCGCATCAGGGTAGTCCTTGGAAAGTTTTCAGTTGGCTGTAAGCCCGTGTTAGCAACCATTAAAAGTTATTTGTAATTGTAAAATTTCTCACAGAGCCAAAATAATGGTGTAGAGTTCAAGTCGTCCTGCACTAGACTAATTTTCAGAAATTTGGCAAAATTTATAAAGAAGATTGGGTAAAAAAGTAAAATGATTAGTAAATGGGATTTAAATTAACAATTTATCTCGTTACTGTCATACACATATATGTACAGTTAGTGCACCTTTACTTGTTAAAATACTTAACATTTTTACACAACAAGAGATTAGCGTTTCAGAATTTACATACCGCTCTTATTGAACTATCTCAATCAGATATAATGCTTGCAAATTGATTCAAAATTTAAATGTTACTTTTTGCATTCTGGCGTTTACATCTATGGTAATAGGGAGTCGACAAGGCAATATAAATTGAAACGACGTAAAGAAAACTATAAGTGTACCCGATGCACACAAAAAAAATTAAATTAAATGAATGGAGTATTACCATCCCGGTGCACAAAAGGATATATTTCTGGTAATCTGACTATCGACGACTCGTAGAATTCGAAGGCTAATATCTTAACCTTTAATTGACCTTGAACACCTCTTCCCTAAACACGCGGAGCCCATTAAAAACATGGAATTAGCATTCTGCCACCTGAAAGTAGTTCTAATTCGGTTCGTTAAATACACGTCTCACCAACTGTCAAAATATCTATATATACACAAATTACTCGAGCCGGCTGACTGGAAATACTTTCCCGCCTTTTTAATTCGCACGTATCGTAATTGCCCCCAATTCGCGCCTTTTCTAATGTGTCTAGACATGCGTGTTTGTCAGATGCTTGCCGTTTTAGTTAGTATACCTTATACTCGTGAGTGACGTCACAGAGGTAAAATAGCTGAACAAAGCTAGCATTCGATATCTTTGATATATAGGGGAAGTTGTGAAATTTTAGGTTACACATTTTGGTTTGTTTATATCATATCATATCAAACACCTGTTACAAGTGGTCTGTAATAATTTCAGATATCATACAAGTATTCAGGTACTTGAAGGTTGAAGTATCGTCTGAGAAACTAATATAATATCTCTTGGCTGAAATAATTAGTAGTAGTAGTAACTACCGCTGACAATTCGTCACTGAGGGAGAGTTTAATAGTGCTCTATTCAAAGAGTCATGTTAGTAAATCTATAATGTCTAAATCAATCTACTGCTGGTGGTTTGTGCAACAAACTGTTATGTTTAAGTCAAGCAAGTAAAGAAAGTCCCGATGGCGGTGAAACTTAAACTGGGAAAGGGTCCTATCGACTATTCATCACAGCAACAAGTATAATTTCAGAACAATATTGGGCAGGAGGGCTTCGGCAATCGTCCTGTGTCGGTGGAGCAAATATCCCCACGATTTCTTTTGGCAAACTTTTTTCAAGTAAGAAAAGGGTTATTTACCAGAATCTCCGTTTGGTAAACTTGTAACTTCACTATCCAACGTTATGACTCTCTCGGCTCGATCTTCTCTAGATACTTGAGGTCTTCTTATAGGGCTCACAATACTTGGTATGTAGGAAGCACTACTGGAGAATTGGGGATATTGCTGTTGGCTAGCTTGACCTGGTGTAGTGGATCGAGAGTCCTCTGTCAGACTTGTGGACATACCAGCATTTTTAAATGTTCCCACAGGTCGGATTCTATGAGGTGATGCTGGACTTTGAGAGAAGTCATCACGAGGTGTACTTGGTTCCGCAGAGCCTTGGTTACTCAATGAGCTCAAGTTGCTTCTACTGTCCAAAGAACTTGCCGGACCACGTGCTCCTGCTGGTACCCATCTGAAAAGAGATATAAGATATCAATGATAGGAATATTTTAGGGTAAATAGAGTAAATCAGAAAGGTCACGATTTATTGAAATATGAAGTCGTTTGGCTTGACATTCGTGGATATTGAGCATATATATAGGCCTATGTTCGCATGCTAGACTGACACTAAGTTGTTCTTTATTCTCATAATGTTCGAAATGACAATTTCAAATTCACGTGTAAGATTTCAATAAATTTCTGAAAACCAACAGGAACCTCCCAAGTATTAAATTACCGACAACTAATCTACAAAACAAGTTTCTTTGATGTTCTTATATCTGATAAATGTTTAAAGTTTTTTCTCTATAATTGTCTTGAAAACTATAAATATTTCACGATTATAAAAAGTTAGTTGAGGGCAAATATTTTTAAGAGTGAGGTTATCTGATGCATTTGAAAAATTTATAGTTCAATCATTTCCGTTATTTATAGCCGTCGCGAGGAACCTACTTTTGAATACATATTAAAAAAATTCATACCGACGACGTGGGTGGGGTGAAGACACGCGAGCCAATTGGCAACATTTGTAAATATCACAACTTTAAATCAAACAAATCACTGTGAAATCTAATAAAGTTAGAAAACAGACATTAACAAAATTGCAGTTTGTTCTGAATGGTAGAAACATCCGCTGTTGTATTTCTTAATGTAACAGTGCTTATCAATTCAATTCACACTTTAAGTGAATAAAATACATTTGAAAACGTTTGGTTTCGTTTAAACGATAGCTTATCCATTTTCCTGAAATTCAAGTTGATTCTAAGATTTGTTTTCTTAGTGAGGTATCTTATGATTTTATCTTCAAGAAATTTATAACAATTCTGCAGCTGGTATGTTTTGATTTGGATAAAGAAAATGAAAGTTTTATGGTCGACCTTTTTAAAATATTTACTGATAACCGCCTGTATTATCAACAACATTTTATCATCACCAGGCAACGGGTAACATTTGCATACCAAAACCATTGAATAAAAAGAGCGCCGATTACTTCTGAAATAAGTGATCCTGGAACAATAAGGATAAAGCAGATTTTTTCACCATCGTTGCCAGTTTTGACAAAGGGTACTGAAAACTTTAATGCTCAGAAAATTGCCAATATTGTCAGATTTCTCAATTGGGATGTGACTGATATTAGGAGTTTTGTAACACACGGGATCTTATCGTTAGTGATTTGTTAGTTAGTGTCGATTTGTGGAGAAATGGGTGTCCCCACGAAAAGTTGAGAGACTGAGACAGTGCCATTTACAAATTAGAGGACATAATTTCACATGCCATTTTTTAAATAGTAACAACAACAAAAAAAACTGCTTAGAGGTCGTAAAGGATATATTTTAATGATTCTCGATTGTTCAATATGCACATTATCTAAACACAAATCATGATCACCTTTCTTGTTCATTCCTATAGAAAATTGTTCTCATGGATATTTCTCACCAAAATATCGAAACATTCACACACTATATAATAAACCCGATACTTGAGTTTGACCAGATCACCCTTGACAGGAGTAGGGGTCGAATTTCACATTAATCACCCTATTAGGGTCCTTATAAATACACCCCTCAACAATCACAACAATACCCTAATATTATGTTTTGTTAAAATAAATAATGCTTTTTGAAGAGGGTTTCTGATAGAATGAAATCCACTTACAGCTCAGATTAAACCTGGTTGTTTTTTCTCAAGTAGATATTTGAAATTTAATCTGCATTAGGGCAATGACAAAATATTCAAGAGAACGGAAAAAGATACAACGATTCAGCGTGAAAGTATTTTGCAACATAAACAAACGATCCTTTGTAAAAGTTCCTCTACAGCGCTCTGCAACATTCCGCTTTACGGAAATGATCGAGAATTGCAAAATGCAACATAGAATCCGCTTTACTGAAACTGTCCAGAGCTACTGAATGCATATTGAAACAACATACATGTAATATTATAGACTTTCATTTCTCCGATATGAACATTTTTAAACATTAGATATATCATATATCATACAATGTGAAAGTTTTATCACAGCAAATTTACCGTGAAAATTAAACTACCGTGGTTGAAATCTGATCGCATCATCCAAGTTAAATGACCATTTTTACTGTAATTTGAATGAAATTTGATATTGGACGATAATTTATTGTGAAAAGCAACAAAACTGTCAAGTTTATAATAAAACTTGATTACAATAGAAATTTACTTCGCCGTTTAATGTAACAAATGGGTTATCATTTTCTTTATTCAATAAGGACTTGACACACAAGCGTTATAGGATTTTAGATCATTTCATCTTTACAGACCTTGACGTTACATTGGTCAGTGGTTCGGTAGATCTTTCGGCATTTCAAAATTTTACCAAAATACAAGACACATATTGGTTACTATTAAATTCATGAATGGTAGAATAAGTAGAGCTAACTCTAGCATCTGATCAAATTATCATTTCCATGCAAGCGTGAAACAAAAAGGTATACGTATTAAAAACTTAACGATATCTTTCACGTCTGAATGACATGACAGGTGGTCAAATACATTCGACCTGTCTGAACCTGGCCAATCTCGACATATGTCCATCTTATCTTTATTCATTAATCTTTTTCGTTTTTGCCTTTGATTAAAACAGCAAAACATGAGGCAAGGATAAGAAATGCCTGATCCTAGTTCATAATCATAATATCACATATTTTAACTGCATATTCGTTAGTCTTGTAGTTACTGTTATCAACGTTAGATGTATGAAGGGAAGCTGCGAAACAAGATGTTACTGGAATAAGACAGGGTTGCCTTTTAGGACCTTGCTCCTTGGTGAAATGTATACATGTAAACAAAGATCTCCTTAAATTGATCTACGTTAGATATATAAAAATGGGAAGCTGCGATACCATTACTTTTAAGTCCGTAAATATGATGGCTCACATTGTTTCTGGAATAAGACAGGGTTATCTTTCAGGACTATGCTTCTTGGTGCAATGCATAAATGGCGAGAAATTATAACTAGTGAATAGAAAATTATTTTTGATGTGTACTCAGCATTAAACTGACCAACCAGGTAATGATATTCTCATTAAACCCACATAATATTCAGTAGCTTTCAAATGAGTAAGGTATAAAATACTAAAAAATAATATAGATCTACAATAATGGTTATAGGATTTAAATGATCATAGATTCGAGGTGTGCCATACAACATCATGTCCTTCAGAAGTCATGTACAGCGACGGAGATAGTTTGAGTATCAAAATTAATGAATAAATTAAATAAAAAGGCAGAATTAATAATGAATTGTTTGCAGTTGATCTCAGAAATTATCCAAACATTTATCAAATACATCTCTTATCTTTTTCGACACGTGCAGGAGATTAATGCGATAGGGTTTAGTAAGAGATCGCGTGATTAAAAGACCAATAAATGAATATTTAATCTTATGGAAATGAGGACATCACGTGTACTTGACCCTAAAACACATCTGAAGTCCCTCTCAGGCCCTATTGACATTTGCAATTCATGGAAAGGTCTATGAACTGTCAGGTTTGACAAGCTGCCATTTCGTATTTTGATTTTTGACTACTGGATAAGATTTTCTTTTTTTAGTTTTCATTATAATTTTTTTATTCGAAAACAGGAAAGTTCGACAGAGCACGAAGTGGCAAATGCAAAAAAAGTCAACTTATGATATGAAGTTTTATCCGGGTGCATTACACAGAACAATGACTAATTATTGGTTAGACAGATGTTAAACTCCCTTGAAATAACAATTTGCAATGTCCTTGAAAACTTAAACCTTTTGAATAATAAATCTCAAGCATGTGAATACAGTGACCAGGAAATACACTGAATTTTTATTGCCCATTCATTGAAGAGAGTGAAAATTGAAACCAACTGGAAGCTGTGACACAAAGTGATTCCCTGTCAACAGAACAATAGGAACCCCTACCGAGAAAACAATAAGGTCTCGATTGAATTACTCTCTACAAAAATAGGGTCACCCACGAACAGAATTTGTACTTCTTTTGATGTGGCTCTCGTCTGTTCTTAAGTAGCAGTTGTGGATATTTTCAGAAGATTTTTTCTGATAATATCAGAATCTTCTGCATCGAGTCAAGGCCAGGTCATCCTCTTTCTCATTTGTTCAGCTTCCATTTTATACATAAATCTAGGACCACATTTGTATATGCTGAGTAAATATTTAAAATTATTTAAAGTTACAACATGAAATGACTTTAACCACGACACAATAAAAGATATTTATTGACAAAAACCGTAATAAATAAGTCCCATGCTGTAAGAAACAGGTTTGGCTTGTAATCTAATTTTTGGCAACTGAAACCACAAACAATATAACAGCTGGGTACAGCCCAAGGTTCTTGAGACCAGATTTGAAAAATAAACAACGAAAATAAAAAATGACTTTATCTAGTTCAAGCAAGAGAGTTCATTTGTTGAGTGTAAAGTGTTAACTTAATGGTTGTACTTAAAAATAGAAACTAGTAAGATATGTCCCCTTTCTTATGACATCATTGATTTCTCATAACATCCCTAATTGCATTATAATATAATATGTCTGTTTACAAAGTTAGTGCAGACAGAGAATGAAGCAGGGTTTGATGTTATTACCCTATCTCTTTACTTGTTATATAGTAATCATGCCATTATTATAATATATTGTCACCACCTTTATTAATAATGTTCATTGATGAATTTGAATATACATAAGCTCATACATTTACACATATTATCATATACAAACAAAGATATCAACTGAAGTATCGTAATAGTTCGTGTATACGTACTCTGAATACGATGGTAAAAAAAATCATAACATTTACATTAGTTCAACAGGGATACACTTTGCGTCTTTATCTATTGAGCACACGTGTTAATAAACTTGATTTACAGTTTAGACTGTAAAATGTGATATCCATCAAAGCTCAGGATAACATCAAAACAAATTGATTTACATATGTCTACTAATTTTACAGTCTGAAATTTCAATAATCTAACACAAGTAGGCGTTTAAACCCCTTCAAATCTCCTCACATCAAAGTCGATGTTTTTAAGATTTATACTTGGTATAGGTAATTTGATAAAAACACCGGGGTCTCTTTCAGTTTATTGATTAAAGGAAATATCAAGCCACACTTCAGACCCAGCAAATGAATGAAAAAATTCGACTGTTCGTTCTTGCCTTAATATAGTAAGCTTTCTTTTTATATTTCGATGTATAGAATTCGCATGTTTGCTCTATCTGTTTATAGTCCCAGTCGTTTGTTATTTTGCATTAAAATAGTTGAACCTTTTAAACTTGCCACGAGCTAAAATTCTGTACCAACACGTTTATTGAAATAATATTTTCTTTCACATAAAAATTCTAAAGTAAATATTTGTTTTTCAATAAAAATCTCTTGTAAGTTTTTAACCAGTTTCCCAGGTTAGGATCGTATAGTTTAATGGGGGTTTGAACTCATTACACCGTGTTATATTAAAAATTTAAATTAGCGTAATAGAAAATTGTTGTATTCCGTTGTTGAAAATGTGCACAGTTGACAATGGAATGCAACAAAATCAAAATTATCTATTCGGTATTTTACATTGTAGACCTACAATTTACAACGAGCACTTCGTACAATTTGGTGCGTATGATTCTTCTATATTCAACAGTAAAATCATACAGTTTTCATATACTCGTATTAAAAGATACGTGATTCAATAGAACTGCAATTACTTGTTGAGAGTAAAACATATCATAATAATATTATTCATATAATATGCTTTTTACATAAATATTTGTTTATTATGATATTACGACATGCAAAATGTTTGAATTATCGGTCTAAAGATTGTGAGTACTACCGATCTGAATCGTACACTAATGTCAGATGTGAATACCAATTTCCATAGATACTTAAAGATGGTCTACTGATGTATTCCACCCTTTTGGTACATAAAAGGTATATCATATTATTGTGTCAGCAACGGATTAAGTTCTTACGGAACAGCCTTACAATCGTATGACAACGGGTCTGCTTTATACCAAAATTAATAGAGGTAATGAATATACAAGATATAGTTATCAAACTGATGAAAATATCAAATTTATCTACACATCTTACAATCTGAATCTTAAATTTAACATGATAGATTCCATATGTACGTACTCAAGAGGGTACATGACATTTAATACTACACAGGTAAAACATTTAAACTTGGCGTTTGGTATGTTTTCTATGTTTTCTGTTATGTCTTTAATTCTTATCTCTTAATATCAGTTTCCTGTCAATGGTCTCGTATTATTTTGTATAATGAATAAAAATACTCATAATATTATTTATGTGGACACCCAGAGAGAGGTGGTAAACGTTTCAAAAGGATGGCACGATGTCTGTATTGGAACTTTTGCTAAAAAGCTTATTAGAGTACATTTTGAAGTTGTCAAGACGCTACAAATATCACTTAAAGTCGTCCATACGATCATCAAATAGCTATGTGCATGTCGATCAGACAGGGTGAAAGGTTAAAAACAAATGAAATCCCCCCCTCCCCCCCAAAAAACCCCAAAACATTAATTCGAGACGATATCTTTTCAGTCAGCAAGATTCAAACTACCCGTGGAGAGAAAAGAAAACACACTCCCAACATTATAAAGATACTGTACACTTCAGTTCGCTGTTGACAAATTGAGAGGTATATCAATTTATTTCAGCTAGATTTCAACCCTATTCCATCTTAGATGCTGACAACCAGCTGACAGATTCCTGATATCTGATATACATTCATTATCGACACATGGCATCAAATTGCAGGAATCAAAATATACACCTTTCAGATATGACATTTTATAACCCGATCCCCACAAAGTTTTATGTCCGCTTGCCATCATGATTTTGAGTTAAAATAAAAAAAAAAGTATATTCCAAACTATTCATTTCTGCTTTGTGGCTAAGGTGAAGGTTACATTGAGTAAGTGATTTTTTTTTCTCTGTTGGTACAGTAGTATAGTTTCTACTCAGGGGTATCTATATATTCCGTGGAACCTTCAAACCTGTAACTCTTACAGAATATGTAACAAGTGAGTTGTAGGTCAAAAATACTAGCCTACTCATTCCCGTTCGATGAGAAAACAAAATAACAGAAGTACATTATAAGCTCGTTGGTGTTTGTCTGTTTACCCCATCAATTATTATCACTATTCTTTTGTTTTTAACTCTTCGTTGACATGAAAGAAGATTGATAAACCACAAAAACTACACTTCGTTTTCTTTTAACTCAGGTAAAGGTATCTTTCGTGTGTGTTATTTGCTCTTTTTGAAAAACGATTGAAATTTGAAGACAACCTATGTTCTCTTTTTTTTGATGAAAAAAAAAACACCGCAATAAACATTTCAAAGCTACTATCGTTGGAAATTTAATTTTAAAAATCTGATTTCTAAAACTTACATTTGTGTGTCATCCGATTCTGAATTACTGCTAGTATCATACATTCCGTCGTTTCCAAAATTGTCATTTTCACCAGGATTTTCATTATTTTCTGTTTCCATGGCGATAACAACAGGGCTTGGGGCTACAGTAACATAACCGTCTCTAATACTTCTAATAGGGTTCACATCTACTCCAGAATTAGATTCTAAATCCTCATTTCGGCTTTTGTCATTTGAATCTTCATTTTCCAAATATTCCTCTGATCTCGTTCCAACATTATCCGATGAATTATTTCCGATTTCCATGACGATTTAAAAACTTTTTCCCACGCCGATTCACTTTACGTTCATGTTTACTATAGAATCCTACACGCTTAGAATTTCTAGTTCAGTGAGGGCCATAGACAAAGGGAAGAAACTTACCACCCCCGACCGCTAACCCGCGCGTGTATATGTCACGTGACACGTTCTGTGTATTAGTTCCTATACGAGGTAAATTAGATTTGTAAAAAATGAAATTTAAGTATCAAGAAAAGTTTCAAGATGTTAGAAAAATGTTCAAAACAGACGACGTTTAAAACACGGTAGAAAATTAAATAGAGCACTTCATTCTACAACAGGCGAGAAGCGTCCAATCTTTTCCATGTTGGTGAACAGGAGGTTAATCATATCCAACTGTTAGTTATTATTTTGCGTTATTATGTACATATTTCTTCATTCGCTGAATTTATGTATCTTATACATTTAAGAGTGGTAATTTGGTACAATTTGCTAGCTACAAATACAACGTTTCTACAAATACGGAGATTTTTGTGCAGTTATAAAGTATATTAGGTCTAAAGGAATATTTATTTTGTAAAATTCTACGAAATTTATCGGGTGCCAATCGTGGTGATAAAATGACAGTTTGGAACCACGGTGTGTTAATTTGATGTTTGAAATAAAGTACTATTTTATCATTAGTCTAATTATAATTATCTCCCTTTATCTGAACGATAAAACTATAGTCAAAATAAAAATTAATTGAAGTCATTTTCAGACTATTCCACAGTGGGATATAATGATAAGAGGTATGCCATGTTTCTAAACAACAATTGATAACCGTCTTCGGTGGTCTTTTATAATTGTGATTAGTATCGCGCCATGCATGTGGATTATAGGCTTTAAGCCACCTAGTCGAGTTAGAATTTTTGCTATAAATTATGGGAATTTCTTTTCTAAAATGTAAGGTCTTTCAATTTTACCATTGGAATTGAAAATGAGTTTTCATACTCTTGTGCTGCGTTAATACATGGTGCTACATGAAAAAAAGGAGACATTAATACCACTTCCATTCAAAAACACAATACAACTATTTCAATGCTTCAAGATTTTAAAATATTTGCCAAGAATATTACAGACTGACCAGGGAGTTTATTTTGTTGATGCTGTCGTGATGTTGTGAATGGGGAATATTTTATGATAACGTGACAGACACAAGTAACTCGACCCTAATCCTACAATGACGGTAAACAACAATCAGATTAATGTGTTTATTTTTCATTGTTTAATCTGTTTTAAAATCAATAGATTATCTAATAGACAAATACGGTATTAACATCAATGTGCCAGGCCTACTGAAAATATCTAGACAAAGTCTAAATTATACGATGCGTATATATTTTGGTACATCAAAGCAAAACCCGGCAAATGAAAATACTAAGTGCAGACTCAACTGGTGGGGATTCTAACGTATAAAACACACAAACTTTTAACTATTTCAACTGGCTTTAGTCTCCAAGCAATTGGGTAATAACATATGTCGAAGTTACATCTCAATGCAATAACACTAATATTATGGAAGGATATGATGTCACTAACAAGAATTTACAAGGGGTTTTGTTTTGGTTTAATAATCTATTAATTTTTGGATGAAAATATATTTGAGTGAGCGTCCCTTTAAATTTAAAGGTCCCAATCACGCCTGGTTAACCGTGAATAGAATTTTGACAGATCGCCAGGGAAAGACAACTCGCAATTTATTATTAACTAATGCGCATGTGTCAAGTTTCCTTAATATTTTTATTTTTTTCTGATAATTTGCGAAAAATTTAGACCTTTGGGCGAATTTATAAAGAAAGCAATATGCAATGGCTTGAAGTACGTATTGCACTTCGCAGATATCTTATTTGCATACATAGCATGTTACCTTTGTTTATTTTATCATGGATTCTTTATCTGGGTGCCCCCCCCCCCTTTTCCCTCACCCTCACTGAGTCACTCTTATTAGCAACATCAGGCATCACTGGCCTCACTAGGTTCTTACGATCATAAAAACAGCTAGCCTTTCCAATCTACCACCCCTCAGTCTTAATCCATGTTCACAGTTGCAAATTATACTTATATTTAAACCCTACTTGCAATAATTACCTTCATGCATTAATGATGAGGCCATATATATCAGTTGAGATTCTTGATTTATTAGAATATCTGCTTCAAAATTGTACTGAGTGTCTTAGATTGTCTTTGGGTTGATAAATCGATTTTGAAAACAGCTTGATTCTTATAGTTATAATCAAGAATCTATTAGAATGATCTTTCCTTGACATCAAATGATTAATATATAAATCTTTTATTTCAGAAATTCTGTGTATAGAATTTATTGAAATATAAGGGGAAATCATGCAGCCCAATAGTCAGGGAACAGAAAGAGGTAAACCACTATTTCATCTTTCTTATGCATAAAACATTTTACTTAGAATAAATGTGGGGCCAGATGATGAAAATGAACAATTCCAACCCGGTGATTTTTAAGGTGCAAGGAATGTGGTACAGTGTGGGAAGAATCTATATAGTGGAACTAAGAAGGAATTAATCATGTATGCACTCTGACCTGTACCCTGTGAATTGCTTCTTTTTTATCCTACTGTACTATACAGATTATCCCGCTTTCAACACACATAGATATCTTACCTCATCTATAAGTTGGTAGCAGCTTACTTGTACAATCCCAATATTAAGCATCAAGCAAACATATCATTCTCATATCTCTGAAATTATGCCATGTTTGAATGCAGGTTACATAATTCCTTACAATATATTTTTACATATTTTGGAAAGCTGAAGTAATTCAATCAACCTAACACTATTTTTTTGTAGGTGATGGTATCAGACCAAGCTCTGAGAATACTGAATTTGTTGTGAAGTTTCCATGGAGAAGAGATAATCAGTCAGAGTTTGGTTCTTTAGGAAGAGATCGCGATGCCAAGCCGGGAGAATTTGTTCTTCAAAGTGTGTTCTTGGAATTCTGTAGAATGGCTGAGAGAAAGATTGAACAAGTTTTGGCTGAACCATTGGTAAGGAAACTATTTGTCTTTACAGCTAAAAATCCTTGAGAGACATCATGAGGTAGACTCTATGGAATTCATCCAGATATTTTTCAAACAAGTCCTTAAACTATTGGAATTTCTATACAATATGCATTTCATGCTAGATGCCTCTCTGTTCCAAGGTTATTCTTATCAATGTATGTAATAATGCTAAGATTAATTTATATTTTAGGAAAAGTCACTATCAAAATCATTACAAAGAGGTGAAGATGCACAGTTTGATCAAGTAAGTCATATATTAGGGTAGAACTGTCTGCAATCACATAAATCCTTGTTTTGAAAAAATTGGCCTCCATTGCTACCATAATTTTATAAAAAAGGACTATAAATAGTTTCTCCACCGTACAATTATAAATGGTATTAGAAAGATTTTATTAATGATCTCTGTATAGATATTAATGATCTCTGTATAGATATTTATTATCTCTGTTTAGATATTAATGATCTCTGTTTAGATGTTAATGATCTCTGTTTAGATATTTTGATCTCTGTATAGATATTAATGATCTCTGTATAGATATTAATGATCTCTGTTAAGATATTAATGGTTTTGTTTTAGATATTAATGGTATTAGGATGTGTAGCTGAACACAGTCTCCCGTCTATATTAAAGTCATTATCTATCTGGTATGAAAGACAATTACGTTTTGAAGATGGTATATTGTTAGAATCACATAGACATAGACATAGGAGTAAAGGGTATGCTATTTTACCTTTTACTTGTCTAAGCTCATTGAAAGGAGAGTTTTGATTTTGCAGTGGAATTCAATGTTGTTTCAACAACTTTGTTCCCATTTAGTGATAATGTTCACAACTTCCATTCTGATTAGCTTTACTATATAATCCAGCACATGAGATGCAAGATGCAAAGTAAAAAAACTGAAATTAAACATCCAGATTAACATTTTAATCAGATTGCACAATACATGATTATTTTTTCATTTCAGAAATAAAGACTTTCTAAGTGAAAGGAGAGATGTAAGTTAAATATTATTTTCGGGCGTAAAATGTCTGTAAAATTATGTTAAAAATGGGTCATTAAAAGTATGCAACAGCTTTTTGTAAAAATTTCAATTTGTAGATCATAATAATTTAATTTAATATGTTATATTTAATATGTAAATTTCAGTTAGCTGTTGAGTTTGTAAACTGTTTAGTGTTGATTGAGGTTCTTACAAAAGTAAGTTATATCATATTACCTTTTATGATGTATAAGAAAAAAATATTTTTATGCTATGTAATCTTAAGACAACTGATCCATTTTAGCCTGGGTCTTTTTGAGATATAAATCGGTAATTTTATTGTATTATTGTATCTATGTAAGTACCTAGATTTTAATATGAATGTAAAGTATTCAGTTTAAGAGACTCAAGTGTTATCCCTCCATTTTCACTGTTCCTTTCAGAATTCCTACCACCCAGGTCATGATGATATGATAAACTATATTATTAGTTCAGCTTTTAAACATTTTAGATCAAGAGACAGGTCAGTAGTATAAATTTATATGTTATCTAGGATCCGAACTCATTGTCATCTTGATTTGACTTAATTCTACTATTGACTTAACAAAGTTCCAATTTCACAACCAATCAAGCTGCAGGCTGTAATAAAGTTAGGGCAGATAAAGATGTGACATACTATTTAGTTCCGCCTTTTTCAGCCCCTTTATCATCCTCTTTGAACCAATTCAACTACAAATTACTACAACTACAAACAACTACCTAGTTTGCGATATCAGCATCCGCTGGAGGCTACTGTTAACTTGTCATCTACCAACTAACAAGCCCCTTTATTTTCATTAATCATAATCTAATTTATCTATTTCAGTAATCCGACAAATCCTAACTCAGCTAATATTAATACAATAGCAGATCTGTATGCTGAAGTTATTGGTGTATTAGCTATGTCTAGGTATGTAAACATTGATTTAAGCAGTATGTCATAATAAGATCAGAATAGAGCTATTTCTATCTAAATTTGATGTTATCATGTATCGAGTATGTTTGAAATAAAGATTAAAGAATTGTTTTGATTGCTTGTGAATTATGATGCAGAGACATGTAAGGTTTTGGTCGCAGAATAATTTTTTGATTCTTGTCGAGTTGCGCCGACTGGCTGCAGTTAAAGGAGGAGACAAAATTTCACTAGTTGGTCATTAACCCTATGTCTATATTCAATAATCACAAGATTATCATGCAAGTGAATTGAAAATGAATCTGATTGGGTGACAAAAAACGCTAACCAAAACCATTTGATAGCAGACAACTTTGACGGTAAATGACTTAGAATTTTTCTCCAGGCAATCTTTTTCATTATTTGTATTAATCTTATATATGACTATCTAATGTGTTAACAGATTCCAGGCAGTAAGGAAGACGTTTATGAATGAGTTAAAAGAATTAAAACTAAGAGATCAAACCCCCTATACAGCCCAAGCCATTATCAGTTTATTGATGGGACTGAAGTTTTTCAGAGTCAAGGTAACATTTTCTTACCTTTTTCATATCATTGAAAAATTTACATCATGATGTTGCATACTCTGTCTATATATTGCAGCTCACAAATTTGGATAGTCACCAAAGTTCACAAATGTGGCCAGAATTATGCCAATTTTATTAATTTAATTTTGAAATTCAAGAGAAAAATAGCTAATGATGTCCTCAAGTTAAAAATTATTAACAATCATATTTTTGTATAAACACTTTGAATCTTCAGTTTTCAGCCATTTTGATGAACTTTCAAGATATTCTCAAAGTTATGCCTTGTAATGATTTTATATTTTCAGTTACATCCAATAGAAGAGTTTGAAGCAAATGTAGCGTTTCTACATGAATTAGGAGTATATTTTCTAGAAATTAGAGACAGAGAAATAAAACATGCTCTAGCTGGATTATTTGTTGAAATTTTATTACCAGTAGCTGCTGTAAGGTTTACTTTATTTAACTCAAAATCATGACACAGAACAATGGTATTAGAGCTTCTTTATAATCTGGATTTAGACTGATGAATCAAGGGTTAAATAGTATGTAACTTGAAAACCCTTGATGAATCAAGATGCTATTTTCAGTATTAATTGAAGATGCCGCTTGCTGGACTGAAAGTGTTTGTGGGTTTAAAATGGAATCTCCCCACAAAATCCATGAAGTTCTTAATTTCTATTTCTAATTATTAAATACTTACCAACATAATTTACAGTTGTCAAACTAGCTGTATCTCAACATGAATTATTTTTGTCTTAGAAAGTTGGTTACATGTCAAAGTTAAAGTATAATTTGAACTCTATATTTGCAGACGGCGAAGAATGAAGTCAATGTACCAGTACTAAAGAACTTTGTTGAATTATTATATTCTACTACTATTGATATGACAACAAAACGTAAACACACTTCAGTATGTAGCTTCTTTAACATTTATTACTCTTATAACAAGTCTCACTATTCTGATGTAAATTTCTATTTCTTTTTCATAGCATTGTCAGTAAGGCGATAGCATTGTCAGTAAGGCGATAGCATTGTCAGTAAGGCGATAGCATTGTCAGTAAGGCGATAGCATTGTCAGTAAGGCGATAGCATTGTCAGTAAGGCGATAGCATTGTCAGTAAGGCGTTTGCTCTTTACATGACATCATTTGTTTAGTTATTTCAAACAAAGAATAAATCGAGTGGATCAATGCCAAGAGGTTTGACCAAGGACCAGCTAGTTGAAAGGATCCTTAATTGTGAACATAAATTGTTATTTTTGTAAAATATAGTTTTTTCTTTTTTTTCTTTCGACACTCATAGAAGCAACAGAATTGTTCTTTTCTTGAGGGGATCAAACTTCCCACATTTAACATATGACAATTTCAATACTATCCCACTGCCAGAAGCTTTTTTTAAGGTAAGTTTATAGATTGGCAGCTTATAGATTTTGACATTGGATGAAAATAAAGGTTTTTAAATGGATATATATTGTATTTTTCAGCACCTGTTTCCACTGGTTACTTGTTTACTGTGTGTTAGTTATAAGGCATTCTTTCTTAATAACTGGCCATATTTCCTCTCAGCCTGCTTATCACAGTTAAAAAATAGAGATGCTAAAATGTCTCGTATTGCTTTAGAATCTCTCTACAGACTTCTTTGGTAAGTCAACTTCTTGTACAATAGTTTGAGTTGATCCACAAATATGATATTCTTTGAAAACATTGAAATCTACCAAGGCATTGTAAGGAAATGAATGTTAACTCTTTAAAACTGATAATGATATAAATATTGTTATATTGTAGGGTCTATATGGTTCGTATTAAATGTGAGAGTAATACAGCTACTACAAGTCGATTACAATCTATAGTTAATAGTTTATTTCCTAAAGGCTCGAAAATAGTGACACCTAAAGATACACCATTAAATATCTTTGTTAAAATCATACAATTTATAGCCAAGGTAAGTCTTTATACCACTTATAATCTTAAATAGAAATTTCTTGCCAATGTCCTTGCAAAATTTCCCCAGTAACACACTGCATTGCGCTACCCTTTTTCATTGGCCCAATCAGAGACAGAAAAGTAGGACGTAAAACTCCATTTCATGGCTGCGACAAGTATAAAGTTTCTGAATCAAGGATTTAGGATCAAGATCTTCTACTACAAATAAAATGGTGTAATCTGGTATTTTTCCAGTAATTTTTTATTTTTCTGTTTTTTTATATTATAGGAGAGATTAGAGTTTGCCATGAAAGATATAATATTTGATTTATTATGTGTTGGTAGAGCTATTAAATTGAATCTTACACCAGAGGTAATTGTCTATTTTGTTATGAATTATGTTTCCAAACTTTAAATTTCAAGACTAGTATAGTCAGATACAGTTATATTTCAAACTTTACACAAACAGACCCTTTTGTTTCAGAGTAGAATTACTAGAAATTCAACGAAAATACTTAATCTTTTGTGTGTTCATTACCACTTCAGCTATAGAAGGTTGACTTGTTTTTAAATTGTGCATTATTACACTTAAAGTAGCTGTGAGAAATTAAGAGTACATAAAAGATATGAAATATGTGTTTACTTCTGTGTGAAATATTCTAAAAATTTGAATCTTGTGCTCTACTGATTAGTACTGAGGATCGTTTGATTTTCTTATTATTTCCTTTACAGAGAATGAGTGTAGGATTGAGAGCCTTTCTAGTTATTGCTGATAGTCTTCAACAGAGAGATGGGGACCCTCCTATGCCTCAGTCTTCCTCTACCCTACCCTCTGGTAGTACTGTCAGAGTCAAACGTACATTCTTGAATAAAATGTTAACAGAGCAGACGGCAAAACAGATTGGTGTCTTACCATGGTATTCTCACATCTTAAAAACCTTTGATGCCATGTTACGAGCTTTAGACTTACTGGTTGGACGGCCATTGTTGATGACCAAATCTGAGAATGCTAATAAAGATGCTGATGAACTAATCATGTGAGTTATCAATTTGGTGAAGTATTTTATGATATAAAATTTTAGTTCTTTATTATTTGATTGATAAAGTGAAACGTCTTTTCATGTTTTAATGCACATTATTGGTTTAAGTTTCATTCTGAAGCATTTTCCCTTACATTATTGCAATTAGAGTTTTATACACTTACAAAACTGGACGGTAATCTTTCAATTTTTATTTTGATAATTTTAGAGGAGATCGTAAGCCAAAGATAGATTTATTCCGAACTTGTATTGCTGCTATACCTAGATTAATACCGGATGGTATGTCGTCTGGTGAAGTGGTAGAATTATTAACTAGACTTACAGTTCATATTGATGAAGAGTTGAAAGGGTAGGTAGACTAATTAGGAGGTAAGATTGACCCATTTGGAGTCAAGTATGGTCATTTTTATTGGCAGCAACTGACAGAACTAGCAAATTTCTTTTGCGTGAAATATAGACTTATTCATCAAGTGCAAAGTAATGTTAAATTCTGATTTGAGGGAGAGTTGTTGCTCTTGGTGAACAAAAATGATGATCGTATACTAGTGAAATTATTTTTGTTTTTTGCATTTCAGTTTGGCGTTCCAAGCTTTACAGAATCTAATGTCAGAATCTCACTTGTGGAAAGAATATGTTTTACATGGTAAGATATCTTCGATGATTTATATTCTTTTGGGAAAGGTTTTTTAAATGTACTTGATTTACAATGAGACATGCTATTCCAAATGAACAGCTCTGTTATCAAAACAATCAAATTGTTGATCATTCATTTTCTGATTTGAAGGTTTTGTACAGTTTATAATGAAAGATATCTCAGATAGTAATACTCAACTATTAGATGGTGCATTACGAATGTTGATGCAGTTATTAGTACAATGGAAATCATCTAATAACACAACAAGCAATAGTACTGGTAGTAATAATACAGGTGGTGCATCTAATAGACAGGTAATAGGTCAAATATACACAATATTTTCATAAAATATTGACACACTGCACAATAGCCACTCTCCTGTATCAAAGAATGCAACAACGTGATTTGATTGTATGCTACCAAATACAACCAACCAGAGCCCTGTATAACTGTAAACATTATGGTTTTGTCGAGAACTCTGATTGACTGTATTTGGTAGTATACAATCCAATCAAATAGCTGTATTTACAAACTTCTGTGAAACACATAAGGTGGCTATTGCAGTGAAGGTATTAGACTCAGTTCATAATGTCTTGACATTAAATCATCATTATAGGAAACCAATGCCTTGATTCTACAGACTCTGCTTGTTAAAGATCCCTCGACGGTTGTAGGAATAAAATGATACCACTATAATATAAAGATTTCTCTCATTGCACAGTGCATGATGTTTGTCCATCCTCATTAGCCCAAACAGGTGCAGAAACTTAAGACATAAAACTCCATTTCATATGATTTATTATAGGAGAGACAAGAGACAGTATATACTCAGCCATTACAACCTATAGTCAATCTAGATGTTTTACATGAAGTAGAAGGTCTAGCTCTAGTTATGATGTGTAGTTGTCGTATGATGACTAGAAAATTAGCTCTCATTCTATTGAAAGAAGTTAGGAATATTTTTAACACTTATAACGCTACTCAGGTAATAATATTTATGTTAATTTCTATCTAAATAAATGTATTTCTTCTCCCAAAACTACCTCTGAGATAAGTGGTAACATGAAAAAAACTTAGTAATTACTCAGAAAATGTTTGATCAGCCAAATAAGTCAATTGGACAGTCCTACTTATGTGTATCAAATGTATATTTGTCATTTGCACTCTCGATGGTAAATCAAGTTTTACAAAATATTTGTATGCGAATTTGACTATCATCTAAAAAGTTCAATAGTCTAAGAATGAATTTGTTTAATGTCAAATAATTAAATAAAAGAATATAATATACTATTTGATAGGTGTGTAATCCATGTTTATTAGATGTAATAGATAAAGCCTGTCCTACCATACTAGAAAAATTACAACAATATCTTCCTCCTGCAGAAAAGGTAACTGATGATCCAAAATTTGTTACGTAGACCAGAGGTATGGGAAACACAAGGTTGTGGCTGGGATTTAAATATCAGTAATCAAGTGCTACAGGCTATGTTGATCAAAGATATCTTTTGGGCTTAAGTAAATGGAGGTTGAATTTTATTCCTATCCATTAGCCCTAGGTGTGGTATACTAGGACATAGATCCAGGGCTGTTAATATATCTGTATTTGCCTGCCATGTCTGAATTGAGCTAAAAAAGAATGACTGATCTTAGACAAATGTAAATATGCTAGCTTCTCTGAATAATTCAAGAATTTGCTATGGAAATTGGTACTGATCTAAAAGGTTAAATGTCTGGTTGGGAACTTCTGAAATTAACAGCCCTGCATCAAACCTTACGTTTTTTGATATTGTATTTGTATTATTTGTTTATTATTTCAGTCAGTTTACCTAACATTATGTAATATTGACTTTGCCTGGGTAGTTGATAAAGCAGCTACCACCTGGGCTAACGTGGAGGGAAGTTCTCAAGATGGTAACCAAGTCAACTATAGTTTCCATAGAATTGATTTGTGGATCAGATTTGTAGCAGCCATCATGTCTAAAGATTTTGCTTTGACGACCTGCCCTCATGCTATAGGTCATGCTTGGCCTATCGTTTACACTAGATTGACAGCTTTATTTCCATTGGTTGATCCTAAGTAAGTGAATCAGCAACATTCGTTCCCCTTTGCATCTCCAGTAGTTCAATAAAATTTAGATTATAACTCAAATCTTGACTTAAGTTCATGTCTGATAAAGCACATTCCTTGATTACAGCAGAACAAAAAAGTGTCTTGAACAAAAATTTTCTCATTGCACACTGTATAGCCTTGTTGATCTTTCTTAACCTTAATTTGTGATTTTGATCAGATTTTTTCCATTTGTAGTTTCCCAAAAAACAGGAAAGATATACTTGAATTAAGAAGCAAAAATTTTGTATTTTTTTTTATTGTACTTGAGATAACTAAAATTTTATCCAAATGTTTTTTCAGTACTCAAACTAATGATAATCGAGCATCATCTATATTACGAGGTAGTAAGAAATTAACAACAGAGAAAGATGTTCATATGCAGTTATGGCAGAACTATGTAGTCATGGCTTGTAGTATAGCACAACAAGGTGCTGTTATACCTCATAGATGTTCTAGCCCTGAACTTGGGTAGGTTCAACTTATATTTGCTGTTGATTTAATGGGTTACCATGAAAGTTGTTCAATTTTGGTTGTTTTTTAATTTACACACTAGATGTTGTCAAAACAACATGCTTATACTTTTACTTATCCTTTTGGAACACAATTCTTAGAAATTGCAAAATTTCCCTCTGGGAACACAATATGTCAAGAGCAGTTTTAACTCTATAAAGAAACTCACATTGCTGTTTACGTAAAAAGTTTATTGATGGCAATATTACAAATTTAATTTTCGTACTCCAATAAATAAGCTAACATTTTTTTCCCTTCTTGTTTTAGCAGTTCATCCCCAGAAAGTATTTCAGAGAAAACAGAATCTAGAATTACAGTCAATAATAGTACTGCTACTAATCTCTTCCATCTATTGGTACCACTGTTAAAATGTGAAAACTCAGATATGAAGGATATGGTAGTCAATGGTTTAGGCTATTGCAATCCTGGTGTTTTCAAGTAAGTGTCACCAAGTGTACCAAAAATAAAGTTTACCATTTCTCTTGAGGAAAGAGGATAACTAGATTGGCATTAACTTAAATGTAGATACAATGCCTGAAAAACTTGTTTTACTCTCTTGATAAGGGGTTGACATTGCTAGGACCTGTGTGCTACAAATCTGCACCTTAAACATTGAAAGGATTGGGCAAGTGCTGCTGTCCTTGTAAGTTGTCTTTATTGTACACTGTAATGTGTCACTAACAATATACAGATAATGGTAATGAATATCAACTATACAAATATTTTTGTGTTATTTTAGAGAGTTAGCAGAAGAAATGATTCACTATATAAAAGAAGCTATAGATAAGAAACAAGATAATTTAAGAAGACGAAGGAAGAGAGATATGTTACGTTTACATTTAGCTCATATCTTTGAATTGATAGCTTCCAATAAAACATTTGCTCAAAGGTGAGTTAAAAAAATCAGATTTAACATCAGATCTTTAAGGTCTAGACCTTTTTATAAACAAGACACCCAGCAGTGAAATATTGCTTGTAAAAATCTGCACATGCAGTCATTTTTATTTTCAACTTATATTGACAGTTTTTCAGCACAACAGCATAAAACAGCATGTGAACCCACATGAGTCAACCTTGAGAAAACCCTTGTTATCCAAACTTGCTTGTGTGAGGAAATCCTCATTTCAACAAAATGTATTTATTTTATAGTGAAGCTGGAGTGATTGATAAAGAAAATGGTTGTTTAAGTTCTATGTTTGTTGATTATATTGATGGTGCCAGACAATATCTGGAAGGAGAAAATGACAGAGATTTACCAATTCTACAACAAATCAGACTACATTTTAGTGGATTTATACAAAATCTTATTTCAAATACTCCTTGTAAGTGAACCTGAAACTTTTTAGATTTAATTCATTTTGTTAAATTGTTTTCTATATCATAAAGGTGCCGGCACACTTTTTCTGATATTTTTATTTGTCAAGTGTTTCACTGAGACAAAAATCTCGATAAATGTCGATAATTACGTGCAGAACATGCGATTGTAAGGAATATGAATCTGATTGGATGATGACGGTCTGTGTTGAAGACAGAGACAACTTGTTTGATGTTATAAATCCTGTTGAGGTCGCGATAATCTTGTTGAGGAATCTGGGCACATGTGAGATCTCCTACTGAGGGATGCCGGTTATTATTGTCTTTATCAATTTGTTTTGCTGTAAATATGTTGGAAAAGGGATGTCATTTATGTTTCAGTGGATTTGAGAAAGACTTTGTTGTCTAGAGAATTAAGATATAGTCTGTTTCATTTATTTGCCAATTGGAGTGGTCATTTTAGTCACACGTTTGGTGCTACTGACAGAAGGTAGGTTAGAACCATTGTGCAGATCAAGATCAATTAGATTTTTTCCTTCATTCAAGTTTGGAAAAAAATTGTCCGATTTAAGATATAGTTTTGAATCTAAGAAATCTTGTATAAATAATAACAGCTTCATTCTATGAGTGTCTGCTTAACTGTCAATCATCGGTTCACAATTTCATTATTATTAAAATTATTTAAAATAGTTCACACCCTGCCCCCCTTCCACCATTTATACTGTTTATATATCAACCTACAAAAACAATAGAGAACTAAAAAATGGTATTGATATAATTATCTTTCTTTAGATTATCAGCTAAAGAAGAAACATGGAATGAACAAGAACTATGTGCAGTAAAAGCTATGTCAGCTGTATTATGTTGTGGACGTATGTTTGACTCTAATGGTCTCAATGATGATGGTTATATATATAACTGGTTGGATACTCTACTTAGCTCTCATGATGAAAAGGTAGGGCAAGAATGTTTCCATATTTTCTTTAAGCCATTTGTAGTAAAAAGCAGACACATACAAGACCTAGATATTGTCAAACTTACATACTGTGACAGATAAACTTAGGAATGAAAGGAAACTGAAATAACTTGTAGACTAATAGAGTGATAGTTCTTTTTATGACACCATCTGCTTGATTACTCCAAATAAATGGTGGTAGTTGGTTTGTAATCTCTGTCAGTGTGTGAAAGTCTGATGACCTTCAATAAGTCATCTTCACTAATGATCCAGTAGACTTAGTTGTTAATGGGTACGAATAATGTAGGAAAAATCAATGCCAAGAGATTCGACCAAGGACCAACTGGTAGAAAGGATCTTATGATCCTATGTTATAGAATATGGTTACTTCTTTCTTTCTTTTCTTTCTTTCCTTACTAATTGACGTATATTATATTTTCTAATCAGATGAAAGAACAGGTAAGAGATATGTGGCATGTAGTGATTTGAGTGATAGTTGGTTCTATTTCATCATTCATACATCATTTATCATATATCATACAAACAATTTGATCTGATACCTTGTGTATTATTAGTTAATCACATATACATATAACACTGGGAGAGACTGCTTCAAAATACTCTTTGTTTTGAGATAACTTAAAATAGCTGTAATGGTTATTGTCACAATTATTTGGGTCTGACTAGTATAGTGCACAATGTTTTACTATTTCTACCCCAAAATTGACAGTCATTCATCATGTATGAGGATTTTATGAATGATTGATGAATCATCATAGCCTTTCAGAACTTAGAAGATTGATTTTACATCATCAAACACTGGTTTAGATTGTTTTTCTGTAGCAATGAGTTGTGACTGAACATAGCCCTGTTGAAAAATAGACTCTACCATAAGCTATAGCCTGTATATTCAAATAAAGATATTGATACACATCTGGGTATGATTCAAAACATATTATTTAGGAATGTATTAATAATAGTAGATGAGAACAATATGAGCCTGGTTTCTATTGTGCTTCTACTTCTCTTTTTGAAATAGACTGTTCTTGAATCATACCCGAGTTGAATGAATATTTTAGCTTGACTATATTTCGTTTAATTTTCATGACATCAAATTGTTTGAATGAAATCATTGCCACATCATCTTCCCATCTTGTTATATAAATTAGTTTGATATTGTTTTGTCAAATTTCAGGTTTTTTATTATCTAGTTGTTTTCCCTGATATTTTATTACAGTAATTTTCCCATTTTGTTTTTTTTTTTGGTTCATGTTAAAATTTTCTTAATCAAACAATTCATAGTTTTCCAATTTTAATGATAAGGTTCTTTTGAAATAACTATATGTTCACAATTAGTATGGTTCATTATACATCTGAACAGTAATATGATTAGATATCAGTTGTAAATTCAATCAGGGCAAGATTTCCTTCATTGTACACTGCATGCCAGCGCTTATTTTTTTCTTCAAAACTAGGCTCTGCACTATCAGCCAGTGGATAAAACACATATAATTTGATTGAATAGTAGTAAAGAAATTTACAATTGAGCTATGGAATCTAATTACAAGAATTAGATCAAAGTGTTTTTGACAAATTTCAGAATTTTGGAACCATTTTAAGATTCCTGTAAGATACTTGAGAAGCAACTACTTGTTTCACAAACAGTCTTAAATTCAAAACTGTTTAAGATTTTACAATTTTATCAAGCATTCATTATAAAGTAGAGACCCTGATTTCTAAAACCTCTTATTTCTAGATCTATGACCTAGCTAAAGAAACAGTATTTTTACTGTTAGAGTTTAATAGTGATGTACAAGGTTTATTAGATTGGGTAATAGATAGATGTTATACTGGTGATATAGAAGTAGCTGATGGTTGTTTCAGTGCTCTAGCTGCTGTCTTCCAAACTAGGTAAGTTATATTTTTTCAACATAGGCTAATCATTGCATAGAAACTGTTGAAGTTTAAGACACATTTTGAAGCAATAAGCAACCTTATTTAGGCAAAATTCAATGACAAAGATATAAAGTTTTGATAGATATGAACAAAATGAATTCAATGTAAATTTTGTTATTTTATATTGATGAGCTGCAGACTTTGAGACTTATTGTAAATGCATGCACAATGAAATATTCTATGTATTTTAAACAAATTTGAGGTGGATTTGCATTTCAGTAAAAAGAATAAAAATGCGATGTTTTTTATTCATCTGGCAAATGAAATACACTTCCAATGTAAAGGGAAACACCTCTCAAGGACCACAATACTGCCCATTTATATGTTGATTTTTAAGTTAATCTCGGAAGATGACGTGAACATAGAAATTCAACTTTTATAATTTCAGAGAATACCCTTGTGACCATGTGGCAATGTTAAACTTAGCTGTATTGAATGTTGGAAATCCAAGAATAAAAACTCATGAAACAGCACAACAACTTCTTCATCTCTTGGATACAAGATTCTTCCAGGAGGAGCCAATCGTGATGGAGAATACAGAAGAAGAAGCCCCTCCCATCCAACCATTAAATGACATTCTATTGGCTGTTTCTTACTGCCACTCACAAGTATACCTGTCTGAGCAACTGGCTAATATTCATCCTGATTTGACATTACCTATGATTTCAGGTAAGGCATTTCAAGCAGATACTTTTCTAATTGTCATTCTGGATTAAAAGTAATGGTTCACTTGTCAAAAATCTGATTCCGAATGTACAATGAATATTCCAATAAGTTATGTGGACTCCCTGAAAGGGTGGCAGAGTTGACAAACTCAATACTAGTGTGACATCTTTTCTGGAGGGTTAACATGCCCATTGACAAGTCATGGGTCAAAATATAACCAAAATTACATTGATTTTAACAACAATAACATGACAAATTGTTTGCTAAAGACTGAAAATTTAAACTTTATTTCAGGGATGTAAAAACTTTATTTATTAATGACTTGATTACTGTTTTTCAGAAATAACTCACAGGTTTCAAACAGCACGACCATCAGTCAGACAAACATTGCTCAAGAATTTGCTACCATGGTTACACAATATGGAATTGGTTGATCCATCTTTACCTCCAACCAATCCACTGTCTTCATTTCTAACTCGTCTCCAAGACAACCAGACTGACAATTATGTAACTACATTACGTGGTGATGGCTGGGGGTCCACACAAGCTACCGAAATGGTCTTGAACAATATTTTCTTTATCACTGTCAAGGTATGTTTGAATATTTCGTTTAAATCTACCCTTAAATTACATCAAATTTTTACATGAGTTGTGATAGCCTTGTTTTGTTTTCACTACAAATGTTTTCACTTATAATGGTAAAATACAAATAAAACTCAATTCCAAAATTATATTTTATTTCTAGTTTGGAGATGAACATCCTGCTGAAATGGAAGCTCTGTGGTCAGCTCTGTTAACTTGGCCCAGCAATCTAAAAGTTATAATACGTTATCTAGTAATAATAACGAATGTAGCAGCATCAGATTTACTGGAATATGTAAGTGTATAATATTGTGGAAATCTTACAAGATATATTTTTGCTATATACATGTAGTACTGATTGATTTTTTTGTACAAATTTCAATTTCTCAATCAGCTTGTCAATATGTTCAAGAGGTGTTGATATGGCAAAACTTTTCGGATAGGAAAATAAACTGGTGTCCCCGTGTGCACATTAATGGTCTCAAGATAGTTGAAAATTTCAGAAAAGGAGGCTAATATCAGTGTACGGGCAAAAGTTGTTAAACACACTGTTTGACATTGCCAATCTTTTTGAGTGCTGACATGGACTGAAATATAAGATGTAGTCTCCATTCATACTATTTCAGGTGAAAAGAGTAATGAGCTACCTGGGAAGATCAAAGCCTGAGAAGCTGGTGGATGAATTAATGAATGAATTACAGGTAATATAGCCATTTTACTCTCATCAGATTTTTCAACCCAGTTTCTCCCTGTCAGTGATGCAGGTAAGAGGAGCTGACATGGAAAAAGCGTCTAGTTAGTTTTAGTATTGAAGACTTTGTTGTACATCACGGACAAATACATAGGATTTATGATAATATTTTTTACAGAGCATAGAAACACTGAATATGAGTATAGAAAGAACCCAGACACCACCATATTATAGGTTATCACCCATGAGGAAGATACCTAACGTTAATAATACCACAGATGATGAGAAGGTAGTTTGTCAGTCTCATGATCAGTTAGAGAAAGGTATACTTCACACCAAACGACATAGTACTAATGAAGATTTACCAAGTGACAGGTTAGTTTATTAGTGGAGTTGATAGTGTGAGCTAGAAGATTGTTATTTGGGCTAAGATAGTTTTAAAGTCATTTCAGGACATGAGGAGACTTAGATTGAGCTGAGAATTTAGGGTCTAAGAACTTCCTGTCGAGGAAGGAAAGTTGAAAATAGCTTTTAGGACCACTTATCAATTAGTGAAAAGGTTGCTTTTTTCACGTATTTATGAAGATAGCACAGTTTCACTACTCTGGCGCGAGCTTTTCTAGACCAAAAGGAAGTGTTTCTGCTGGCAAAAATAGATTCTTAAATAAGGTAGTAAGTCTCAACTCTTTCAGTACAACAAGAACAAATTCGACTGTATCATTAAGAAGTATAGCTAGTACCAGTTCTACTCAAGATCAAGTTACTTTGACCACAGGTATATCATTCTCTATTATTTTTTTTATATGATAAATATATTATGAAAGTATCATTGAAAATCCAAAACTATTCAATGTTTTACAGTATATTTTGAGTTGAAGCAGTAGGAAATTAAGTAGGATTTTTACTTTTGTCAAATTTTCCCTTCGAACATCTAATGGCTACTTTTACTTTAAATGTATATAATATGGTATCTTATTCTAGAAGAAGAACTAAGGGGACAGACTCCAAGTCATGTATTTTCAAGACCAGGAGAAAACAGACGCAGTGAATCACCAGTACCCTATCCATTACCCATGCCAGCTTATGGTGGTTACTTTGCTCCATTGAATCAGTTTTTACCAGAGAATTTACCGTCTAATCCAGGATTTCACAGGTAAAGATAAATTCAAGCTGATAGTGAAGTGATTAAAATACTGTGGTGTAGTAAATGAATGATATCTCAGATACATTGCACTTGACACTTGAGGACTTATAAAATGGACACTTGACCATGCCATTATGTAAGATGGTGATGTTAACTTTCCCCTTTTGTTATTATTTCTTTTAAGCATCTAGTTAATAACTTCTAAAACTCTTGCGCATCCAAAGTGTATCCAAAATTTTACCAAAAAAGTATATTTTAAAATCCTATTTTGAACGATTTTCTTTTTTTATTTTGTAGGAGTAATATAGCTATAATGTTTCTGTCAGACCTTGTTTTAGATGGTCTAGAGATAGATTGGTCACCACATTTACCACTAATGACTCATGTCATCTTTTTAGGTAAGGAAAAAAGATGATACTCTTTGTTTCTAGGTTGACTTTCGTTTTATTGAACAAATGTCTTGATAACTTATGTTCACTTAAGCAAGAAATCATTATAGAGCATCAAACATTTATAAGATTGGATGTTTTTCAATTCTTGATTTTGTGTTTGGGTTCTGGCAAATAATTAGTTAAAAAAGACAATATGTCTAATAAACAGACATGCATATTCAATCCAAGATTTAGTTATTATGCATAAGAGCAATTTTTTTTCTTTCTGCAGGTTTGGATCATGGTCGACCATTAGTCTATGAACATTGTAAGAAATTATTGATCAATCTACTACTGCTGGCCTCATCACATGATCACAGTGATATAGCACGTCTGTTACTAGAGGGTAGACATAACCCATCAGACACATTGAAAATTATATCAGAAGATAAAGATCCATCATTAAATATGGGTATGTTTTAGAATATTTAATTAGGTTTGTAGCATAGGTTAGGTATGAGTATTGAAAGTATTACAAGATTTACTGAAAACCTGAGCTTAGTAGTTTCAATTACACAAATAAACAGAATGGTCGACAATACCTTGCCTCACCCACACTATGTCCATCTATTAGAAACACCTTCTCCTTGGCAATATTATTGTATTAGGGAAATTTGCAATATAAATTGATTGTACAATAGACAATAAAAGCCCTTGACCCATAGTTGCACGACAGAAATATCCATTGCCGTCTTTCTGTCAATGGCTCACCAAGGCACAGCAACCACATATTTCTGTATGGATATGTTCCTCCAGAACTCTCATATTCCATGCTTTTTGCAGTTTCTAAAGTTAACCACCAACTGTTCAATTACTTTGATCCTATCTTTTTAGAAACACCACCTAGAGAGACTAGTGTATCTAGTCAGATGATAGCTAGATCAACATTTAGTATTGATAGTAGTGCCACCATTACACCTGAAACTATAAGTGTCATGACAGATCCTGATAGTTTTAACTCTGTAGAGGAAGTGGCTAAAGCTATCATCAATTTCATGGACAACAAGTAAGCCTGAATTCTGAATCCAATGTCATGGGACAAAAGGAGTGAAAGTTGGAGCTTAGCATTTGAATATTTTAGTGCTGTGTGGATACACATGCCATGCAGGTGAACAAGATGAATTTCAATTTAGAAATCACTTTTTTGATTTGGCAGTCACTGTTTAAAATCATTGCCTATAGATGTCATAGGTTTGACGTTTCTTACTTGTATTTTTCTCCAGAAAAGGCCGGCCACTATGGAGCTGTGATGACATCACACCGAAAATGTTGAACACTCACAGTGCTTCCCTATTGGAATATTTCCTGAAATGTGTGGTTCGTTGTTTTAAAGAGTTGTCACCCTTGGCATTGGTTGAACAACGCTGGTCACAAACAGCACTTCAGTTAGCGTTGTCTTGTTCTTCCAGACATTATGCTGGACGCTCATTTCAGGTTGGTTTTAATTTCAAATAGATTTTAAGAGTTGGACTGAAATATTTGTAAATTGGTTTTATTTGTTGTAAATAGAAAGATTATGACCAGACAATATATTTTAAAACCAGTTTCTCTGTCCTGTAAATGGATACATTTATACATGTTATGAACAGAAAGTACAAAAGTCATAACAGCAGGTTCAATCAAGGTGTTGCAATAGAGTTTTCAGATTTTTGGGGATTTCCCTTTATCAATAGTGACATTCAGATACATTGAAAAAATTTAAAGTTTTTGATGGCAAGAAATATATTACAAGCAGCACATATTAAGGATAGAACAAAAATGACTCTGTTTTCACAAATTTCCTTCATAAGTAGAATATTTTATTATAGATATTACGAGCATTACGAATTCGACCATCAACACAGATGTTATCTGATATATTATCTAGACTAGTAGAAACTGTAGCTGAACAAGGTGAAGACATGCAGGTAATGTGGTGTTATACTTATAAGATAGTTTGTGATAACTGTTCATGATAACTGTTCTTTTTTAGTTGGTTATGAAGACAAATCTAAACACAAAAGTGGAATGAGCTAATGCTTGACTTTACTCTTTAATAGCAATGAATGAAAACATAAGTTGATAAAACAACACAATTATGGGCATCCATATACAGACATTTACAATTAATATGGTTTCCTTTCAGGGCTATGTGACAGAAATTATGTTGACCTTGGAAGCAGCAGTTGATAACCTTGACCTAGAGTTCCGTCCAATAGATTTCATGCGAGAGATATTCATGTCCACACCAAATCTTGCCAAGGAGAATATTGAACGTAGGCCAGGAATGACAGCACCAAAACAAGCTATACCCCATCATTGTCGTAGTACAAGTTATTCTGTAACTGTTGTAACACAGAGAGCTAAAGCTGGTATACGTGAGTAAACAATTAAATCACTTATAATGATGGCTGCAACACTATTTTCCAATCAGATTACCTAATTCATTCTTTAAGATAATCTTAATTACGATATTTTAGACAACAACTTGCAAGGTACGCTTTATTCAAAAATATATACATATTGTCCAGTCCATAAAAATGGGTTTTCCTAATGCATTGAATATACAAAAAGTGTAATATATGTAGATTTAATAGTCCACAGAAGACTTTTTGACCAAGAGACTTCACCTTACAACTGGAAGGAGAATATCAATATATTAATTCAATTATTGATAATATTATTTGTTATGATTGATTTTAGTTGATCTACGTAACAGAAGTAGTACAGATTCTGATACCAGAAGATCTAACCTAGCTAGATCACGCAGTGCTCAATCTTTAAAGAACCTGGATCAAGCTGGTACTGAAGATAAAGTCACGCTATTAACTCAGATGTTCTGGATCTGTGTATCTTTATTAGAATCAGATTATGAATATGAGTTTCTATTGGCTGTAAGATTACTGGATAAGGTTAGTAGAAGTCAGCTTGGAGCAATCCATATTTGTTCGTCCAATTTTAAATTTATTAATCTTGGTCTTTGCCACTTGTGCTATTAGAAAATGACTTAAATAATTATGTAATCATTGGGCCCTTGAACAGACTTGTGAGGAATCTTCAGTCTCTAATTTCATTCCACAGGTTATTTTATTTATGAGTGGTTTTTTGTGTGAAAAATATTTTCAGATTCTTTGTCATCTTCAACCAGAAAGACCAGAATGTAGAGAGAAACTGGAAAAATTATTACAACAGATAAAATGGCCGAACTTCCCTGGTGTACAGACGTTATTATTAAAGGGTTGTACATCACATATGGCATGTGAGGCTACATGGTCTCTATTATCACGTGTTGTTTTATGTATCAATGCTCCAATTATGGATCCATCTGGGGGCTATGGTAAGTGGTAATTTCAACTTTTTTTTATATCCATCTCTACATCATTGAAATGATTTTGGACCTGACAGCAGATCTTTCAAGACGAAAACAATAGTTTTTAAACAATTTTTCTGGAGAACATACAGATTTATCAAATACAAAAAGCTATTATTAGTCATCCATCAATAAATCACATACTTTGAATGACCAATAATTCTTTCGTGTGTTATAACTTTTTTATAATCAATATTGTTTTGCAGGTTTTCCAATGAATGTGATGGCAATGTTACCATATTTAGTTCATAATTATGAGAAAAATAATCAAACTTGTAGAGATGCTGCTGATCATATAGCTCAGGTTAGTTGCTAAATATCTTTTTGTCCTTTTATAACATTCATTACTTATCAATGCAGCCAAATAACTGATTAAAAAGTTGGTTGTTGTCTGCACTATAGTTGACTCATGCCTAACTGCTACAATTATATCGTTTGTCATAGGAATCAGATACAAACAGATAGTGAAAATCATTTGACAAATAAGTAGATCATAGAAGTCACAGGTATTCATTATTGAAATTTAATCGCTGATCATTTAAAAATCAACCTGAACAATTGAAAATCCAAGGAGAATTGACGCCGCTTTCAATTCAAAACATCCCTCATTGCACACTTCCTAGCATCGTTAAACTCATGAGGTTAAAGTATAGAAATATATGATGTATGACCATTCATGTTAATTATCATTGTAGATGTGTAACCAGCAGTCAGACAGATTAAATAATCTAGCCACTGTAATGACTCTCTATAGTAGAGGTACATTTGGTAAAGACAGTTTTCAATGGACTAAATGTGTAGTAAAATATCTTCATGATGTTTATTCATCTGCTGTTGTTAGTATGGTCTCTTTTCTGGTTGAGGTAAGTTACCATTTCATTGCCATATATAATGTCTTAAAGGTTAATCCAAAACAAAGGAACATGTCTGAACGATATCTTCTTGATTTTCCAGTCACTTTATAGCTACTTAGATTTTATGACGAATAATCAAGGCTAAGTTGTTTACGCTGAATTCCTTTTTCCTTATATTTTTATAGATATTCTTGACACCATTCTTGTTTTATTTATTGTAGATTTTAGAGAAAGGTTCATCTAATTACCAGTCAGCAGTATTACAGATTTTACATTGTTTAGTTCATTATATAGATATCAACTCTACACCTAGTAGTTTACTGAATTCAGAGTTGTTTCACTCAGCATCTAAACATGTTCAGGTATAAATACATTATATAGATATCAACTCTACACCTAGTAGTTTACTGAATTCAGAGTTGTTTCACTCAGCATCTAAACATGTTCAGGTATAAATACATTATATAGATATCAACTCTACACCTAGTAGTTTACTGAATTCAGAGTTGTTTCACTCAGCATCTAAACATGTTCAGGTATAAATACATTATATAGATATCAACTCTACACCTAGTAGTTTACTGAATTCAGAGTTGTTTCACTCAGCATCTAAACATGTTCAGGTATAAATACATTATATAGATATCAACTCTACACCTAGTAGTTTACTGAATTCAGAGTTGTTTCACTCAGCATCTAAACATGTTCAGGTATAATTCAGTCTTTTGACTTTTGGAATTAAAATTCAGGGAGCAAACTTTAAAGAAGCATTAAAGATATTAAAGTTAGCTGTAACAAGATCATCTACCCTGGCAGCAGCTCCACCACCTAGTTCCAGTGTAAACAGTGAATTGAGTGTCTTCTCACATACTTCATTTGCTGAGGCTGAAATATTCACCAAGATTCATAAAGAACTACCAGGTAAGAAGCTATTAAGGACCTTCCAGTTTGTTCCTAGCATTCTTGATCGAGAAATTTCTTCAAGCTATTAGTAAATGTGAACATCTATTTGCTAAAACCTAAATTCTATATTTGAAAAGTAATCTGCACGATATTTTCCTGAAAATCTGTCTGATACCCTAGACCTGAATAATGTGTTTGTTTTTTCAGGTCGAACTCTAGATTTTTCAGTGGATTTGTCTAAAACACCTATAATTGGTCGAAAATATTTATCATCAACTGAGGCATCAAAGTCTGTGGAAGAGACGAGTCAAGCTAGTTCTTCAGCTTCATCATCAACAGTTTCATTATCTCGTAAACCTTCTAATAATCAAGATATCGATTCTGTCTGGAGACGACCCCAAGCTTCTCAGGTATGATGGAAAATTCACATGGCTTTCTGTGATTAATTTTAAAACAGGGGAACATAAGGGGATTTATTTCGGTCTTTATTGTGCTTTTAAAGTCTTAAGAAGTAGTTAAATGCATGAATATTGCATATCCCTTCAAATATATCTCAAACTATAAATTCTTATATATGTGTTTTCTATATATGGCATAGTCTCACTAAAATTTGAGTCGTATTTAACTTTCAAATGTGAATAATTATGGATGCATATGGATTTGAAGGCTGTGAACGCTATTACTGATTATGTAAGCTAAAAAAAATTCCTGTTTCTGAAACTAAGGTATGATTGGTTGATAATGAAGGTGCTCCTTTAATGTTTGTAATTGTAATATGTTTTGGGGATTGGATTTTAATCTGGATATTATGAAATTTAAGAAACTAAGATTTCTATTCTATATCTTTTTTCTAGGCTCGAACAAGAGAGAGGTTGGTGAATCTACTGACATGTTTTGGACAGAGAGTTGGTTTACCTAAGAGTCCATCTGTAAGTTGTTTTGTTTTCTTGTTTTTTTGTCTATCAATAAATGTATTGTTCTCAAACAATCAATTAAAAAAGTGTGCCATATATTACAAAATTTTAGTTCAGGACAATGATCAACCTTTTCCAAATCTTTAAAAGTTTTTGGAAATATTATCCCTTTCTACTCTCTGATGCTTACTAAATTTTAAGTTAGCCCAAAATCCTGTTAGTAACTTAAAAACCCAATGATTTGCATGAAGCTTATATAAGATCAGTTGCAGATAGTGAAGCATGGCTTTCATCATTACCTAATGTCCTTGTTGGTTAATATTCTGCATGCAATACAGCTCCAGTTGGAAAAAGGATTGTGATAACGTATGGTACATAAGTTTATATATGCTAATATCTTGTGTCATTAGCGACAATAGTACTACATTTTTGCTGGAATTAACCAAGGTCAATGATAGACCTGTTACAGTAAAAACGCAAGCTTTTAGAAATATGTAAAAATTACTGGTATCTTGACTAAACTGTATATTTCTATGCAACTGATAGGATACAGTTATTAATAAGGTACAGTACAAGGGCTTGCTTTGGTTTCAGAAGTTTCACTTTTATCTTCTTAAAGTTGGGTTAAGAAACTTTGGTGATGGAATCTTTAATTTATTATCGTTGTTCCTTAAGTTGGGTTAAATCCCCATTAAATAATCTGCTCTATTGCCCTGTCCCAGTCAAATAAAACATATTTTTGATTTATTATAATGTTATCACTCTATTGATATATGTATATATGGGTCGTAGACCTAAATACTGTTAATAAAGATTATTATAATTGTATTTTTGATTTAAAATTTTTAAAAGGTATCTATTAAGGAATTTTCATAATATTTTGTTCCACTTTTTTGAAAACTATGGATTACAATTTTCTAAATGCTCTTGTATTTTGTTTTTATCTATCAAAAGTCTTTGCCACACCTCCTATATATTATTTTACTATTGTCCCTTATATCCACTGTATAATTGTTTGAGAAATTTGAAAGAAGTAGATCATGGCATTTTTTTTATAAACTATTGCTAGTATTTTATTTTGCGCTTTTAGTCATATTTCCCCCAATGCTAGATAAAACCATACATGTTTATGGAAGGAGTTTGTTAGCAAACTCTTCGAGATAAACACTATTACCTGCCCCTCCTGCCCCCCCTGTGGCTCCGCCACTGGTTAGCTACTTTAAGTGCTGTATATTTTATGAAAATTTATTAATAGAAGGAAAACCCAAATTACTTTGAAAAAATCAAAATTTATGAATTGTACATACCAAAATAACTTGTCAATGAAATTTTGTGTGTTGGGAAAGAATCAATCAAAGAGGTGTAGAAGTGGATACCATCTGCTCTCCTCCATCATCAGTCACATTAGGTTAAAGGTCAATCTGATTATTTTGTTACAGGTTATATTTAGTCAGTCAAGTGATACATTAGATCATCAACAGAGTGTAGCTTCTAGTGGAGAAGAGGCTTCTTTACCAGAAGTTCCTTCCAGTAAGTTTTCTCATTCTGATTCTCTATTGGATGTTAATTCTTATTTTTATAAAGATTGATAAATTCTGGGCTTGTACATGTTATTTTACTTCAATAGTATCAAAAATCTATTTGGTTGTAATAATCATTTTAAAAATGTAGTAGAAGTTCCATCCCTACACACATAAAGATCTTTTTATACTCTGATAAATTTGAGAATAATGGAAACATACTTCATGCATGTTGCTTTCAGCATTAACCACCCAAATCACTTCTTTCATTATATTTTCTAGATGAAGGAATACTACATGATTCTAGTGGTAATGAATTAATGATGACATTTAAAGGTTTTGATTTCTTAGATAATGAACTAGAATCAGAAGTGAGTATGAGGTTTGATTTCTGTTTAATTATATCTATATCATTTTACAATCAATATAATGAAGACCATTTGATTAGTGAAAACCTACTTCTTATTGTATAGTTGCTATAAGGTTTGATTGCCTTGAGATAATGAATCATCTTAGAACAAAAGGATGTTCTCTTTGATCTGCATTTTCACTGTATTTAAATGAGCAGATAAGCTAAGGAACCAAATGTTTGTTAGGAAATAACAGTTTTTTGACCAAGAATCTGAGACAGTTTCAGAACATGTAGCTTTATTAATACCGATGTTTTTGCAGAATGAAGATTTCTTCTCCCAACTGGATAGGCGTACATCAATCAATATGGACAGTTCACCAACATCATCTGGCAGACGTCATTTTGGTAGTGTACCTGATTTAAATATGATGCAAGAGATAGCTATTTCTCCCAGTGATAGTATAAGTGTCAAGGAAGAGGCTATGTCTAATGATGAGGTATGGAATAGAATATTTTTCATGATAATTTACAGGAAAAAATGTCTGATTGTACCAAGAGAATGATTAGGGATTGTATTTTGTAGCAGAATTTTTTGAGGGAAAATGTTGAGACAGTATGATCACCTTCTAATGCAAGCCATACACATAAATAAACCAAAAAAAATAGGATTGTTATATATTAAATGGGAGTCATTTATAAAATACAACAGAAAACTCTTAATTTGATGATAAGGAAGAAGGTTACTCTTTGCCTAACTTTTAATATTCTATTTTTAGACTGAGAGTTCTGTAGCAGAAGATAATGTAGTTACACAAGATTTAGCTGGTTCTAATTCTATTATGGTACAAAATGCTACATTAGAACGTAGCAGACGTCATTCTAGTCCCCTTACAGCATCTACGTAAGTATGGATTCTACCATCTTGTTAATACATGAAAATGTAACTACTAACAAGTACAGCTATTTATTTTACCACATTTTGACTTCTAGATCATCAGCAATTATGAAAAAAAATATTACTGAATCGATTATTATACTAATATACGCCCATCTATCTTTCAGTCACAGTCTTTGTAGTAACCATAGTGAAACTGATATAGTAGAATCTAGTGGATGTACTTCTTCACCTAGTTTTAGTCATCTGAATACACTGTATTTTAATCTTCAATCTGATGAGGTAGAAGATATATGGAGAGGCCATGCTGAGAAAGTTCTTGGTGAAGTTTCACTCTCACATGCTGTCAGTGCTTGTCAGATCTTCCCTAGGTTATTCAGGGTAAGTAATAAACATACCAAATAAACAATATTAGCTACGGTGAAAGGAATGCTGGGTTCGCTCACCCAATCACAAAATGACATCATTATAATGAGCTTGTAGTAAAGCTCAAATTCAATAAAGTTTTTGGGAATGAAAATTGGTTTAAAATTTAAAATTATGTGCTAAAATCTCTGGCTTTGAAAAAACTAGATGTGTTGGTGTATGTGTTTGGGGAAATATATCTCAATATATTATGTATCTCAATGATTTATATCCCAATACATTATGTATTTCAGTGATTTATATCTCAATACATTATGTATTTCAGTGATTTATATCTCAATGATTTATATCCCAATATTTAATGTATTTCAATGATGTATATCCCAATATATTATGTATTTCAATGATTAATATCTCAATACATTATGTATTTCAATGAATTACATCCCAAAGCTTTATGTATTTCAATGATTTTATCCCAATATATTATGTAATTCAATGATTTATATCTCAATACATTATGTATTTCAATGAATTATATCTCAATACAATATGTATTTCATTGATTTATATCTCAATACATTATGTATTTCAGTGATTTTTATACCAATGCAGTATGTATTTCAATGCTATATATGCTTTATATCCCAATGTTTTCTGTATTTTAATAAGTTATATCTTGATGATTTGTATATTGTCTGTATTATAGGAAATGAGAAGAAGATTGATGACAATGTGTAAAGAAGCTTGTTATTATATATCTAAAACAGAATCATTAAAGTCAGTTGCCAGTCAAATATATATCCTTTAATATAGTCATAAATCTTCTACTAACATTTGTACTCTCAATTCCATGCAGTGTGCAATGAATGCAATTTTTTTAAGGACAGTGATGCCAATTTTTTTACTTTTTTTCAATTTCAATGTGGGTGGGTTTTTAATACATGATATACACATCCTGTAGAATACAAACAAGTGACTGCATCTTCAGTCCTTCCTAATTGCATCATAAACAATGGAGAAAAAATTTGTACTGTTTTAAGTACTGTAAATCTTGCCACAGATTTCTGTATCATACTTGTTTTCCTTAACTATTCTGTGTACTGCAAGTATTAAACATGGTGTATGTTTCTATGGAATGTCCTTTTATATATGTAGAATCAGATACAGTAAGTATTGTAGCTATGTCTTTGTCTTGAGTCCTCAAAGGTTGCAAGTCAGTAATGACTCTACCTTTCAAACTTAACACCAATTACTTTGGAGTAAGTCAAGATTTAAACAAAGATTAACTTCATGAAGGCCCTTAAACAAGATTTTATATGTGTGAATTAAAGGTATCTCAGTAATCATGTGTAAGGATTTATCTCTGATACTTGATATTTCAATATGAGATATGTCTGGGCCTTGTTAACCTATAGAACTCTACCTTTTCCAAATTTAATATATTTTAATATATATTTGATCAGTTTTAATGGCTAATTTGATTTTTTGTAGTTATTAGGTAGTCGTGTTGTAGAGAAACATAGATTTTGTGTGTTAGAAATACAGGAGTGTTTTGAGACATATTATATGAGAAAAAGTCAGGCTGAACAGGTTAGTTATCTTTTACATTATCTCTTCAAGCATCTGAACCCAAGTTTTATAGAATTTATGTCAGATTATCATATTGAAAACAAATTGAGACTAGAGCCACACGTGGCACAGAGTGGGACTTTGCAAATGTAGCAAAATGCTAAAGACTCTGAAAAAATCAACCTTCTACGATAATTACATCACGCGCAAGAGCAGTCTAAAGTTGAGAAGAATTGTTAGTAAGATTGTTATAACGGAAGTAGACATCCCTCACAAATGAAAGTATCAGAAGATAGCCAAGGTCAATGACATTTGACATTGAAAGGGAGACGGTCAACAAAGGTCAAGGTTACGAGATACAAGTCATCCAAATTTTTAATTATATACGGCTATAAAACCAGAAGTTGAGATAGGACAGCAAATATAAAAGTATAAATAGATAGCCAATGTGAATGACCTTTGATCCTACAAAAATCAGGGTCAAAAAAGGTCAAGGTCAAAAATTGAAAATTTTGAATTTTCAAAACCTGTTCCTTTTTTTGAACTATAAAACTGAAACAATCGAACTTCTAAGACAACGTGGCTCAACGAATGAAGTAATTGTATGCAAAGTTCCATTTTGAACAAATGTAAACGTTGCGAGTTATGTCCCTTGCCAAAATTGTCAATAATGAGTAATTTAACCCGGATGTGCTACGCCCACCTCAATTTCTTTTGCATAGGTTAATTGATATTCTGAATGTTATGTTGTGTTCCAAATTTAAAGCTTCTACATCATACAGGTCAAAAGATATAGGTCAACAAGAGTCAATAAAGGTCAAAATAGAAAATTGAAAATATAGAAATTTCAAAACCCGTTCCTTTTTTGGAACTATAAAGCTGAAACAATTGGCCTATTAACACAAACTGGCCAAAATCATGAGGTAATTGTGTGCAAAGTTCCTTTTT